ACGATAATTATTACAGATGGAATCCTTCAGGCGTGTTTACAATTAAAAGACAAAATAACGCACGCAAACACATACAGCAGTCTGCCAGTGTTACACAGTCCTCCAGAACTAAACAAACAGGCTGCAGGAGTTCTCTGGAGTGAAAGTCTCTTCGGGTTTTATATTCATTGTGATTACAGCTCCTTTGTTTTTCAGAAACTTATGCCAATAGCACCTAAGTCTTAACCTCTGTGTCAATACAGTGAGACAACTCTTTCTGAAAAGAGCAGTAAGGTGTTTAAAACTTGAAAACCCCTGCTCCAATATAAACTAATATAAAAGTGCACATTGTTACTATTCGACGTCATGTGTTTTACTCTGCGTCATATAATGACTGACATTAGTCAAACTGTGACTTCAGATTGCTACATTCAATTATTTCCCCTTTATTTCTTGTATTGTGAGCTGTCATTCGAGCTCTTTCACCAAATTCCAAAGCTAATTTTGTACTTTTCATTAGTTTTGAGTCGTTCCTTTGTTGTGTCTGTCCTTCAACACCCTGCTCAAAAATCAACTGACTCCAAAGTGGGGACTACTTTTTCTGACTTACTGCACTGGTAGATAATATGAAACTAGGACACAGTGCTGTTTTAGTAGTTTTAAACAGCCTGTCATCAGGTTAAAATGTAATTTCATTCACAGTGATTGCTCAGGTTAAAACTGAATGTGTGACAGTCTAGCTGAAGTCTAGTTTAGAACAGTCTTCACTGAAATGTTACCTCTGCTGAAGTTGCAGTGCGGGGTGATTTAACATTTAATTCTCTAATTTTAATGCTTCAGTAGGCAAGTTTTGTAAGGGGAAAAATCCATCCATTTCGTCAGCCTGAATCTCAGTGGGGCTGCAGCAAAAAACACTGTCCCTGCTCCGCTAATTGGGAAGACATAGATTAACTGTTTGCTCAAATGAAATTCTCAGTTGAGAGGTACAGAAATTGCTGGGGAATCTCAGCATTGGAAATGACAAATCGAACAAAGTGTCTCTTAAACGGCAGTGAATGAGCGTCCTGTCGAGCGGAAACAGGACTCACTAACATCAGATCTTTCAATTTGTGGGTATTGAAATGGCATTATCTCCAGAGAAAAGTGGCAGTGCCTTTATTTATGATTCAGCTCACTGAAAGATAGAAAGAAGGCTGTTCACCAGGCACTGTGATAGACTGGAGATCTTTACTTGTACATGGTGTCTAACATTTGCTGCTTTGTGGTCACTTTAACAGCAGAGGTTAGAGGGAATGAAATGGCTGCATTGTGACCAAATAAAAGCGCCTGGCCGTTGGCCTGTGATCACCTCAGTGTGCGCAGGCTGGTGTCAGAACTTGTCACACAGTCTCATTCACCATCTTACATTTGAAGCTGTTGTCAGTTTGTTGTTAATAAGATGACAGCTGTCTGTGATTTAAACTGAAAACAATCTAGAATGGTAACAAAGTTATTATTAATTTCCTTAGACTTCGAATCAGTTCACACAAAGATCTGCCGGTAACTGCACACAGCAAGGTAAATATCAAGATAGAAAGCGCAGAATAGAATTTCACTTTAAATGAAAAAAACATTGTGCTGAATTTTGGAAGATAAGAGCTTGGTACATTTTCCATTGTTTGTTTTTGTCACCAGAAAGATTGTTTACCACGAGCCGTCCTGTAGCCGAGTGGTAAAGATGCTTGTATATGACCTCAACATCCCCAGTTTGACTCTGGCCTTTGTTGTTTCACTGCCCTCTCTCTCTCTCTCTCTCTCCCTCCCTCCCTCTCCATGTCTGTATCTCTTCTATCACTATCAAATGAGGCAAAAGGCCCATAAATCAGGGACCACTGACAAATCTACATCATCATCTTCCTCCTGTATAATTAGCTGTAACTTTAATTTCACTTGTGTTAAATTTAGTTTTGGATTTCCCTGATGGTATATTTCAGAAGTCATCGCCTTCACTGTAACTCACTTTGGTGGGGACAAGCTGACCTCTCACTGTGGATATACTGGCATTTGCACGCAGCACTTTATTTGGCAGCCTTTGAAAAATCGCCAAATTTGCATTCGTTTAGAGTATACAGGAGCAAAGAGTTTCAGCGCTGGCTCAGAGACAGTCCAGCAGAGAAATGGTCATAAATAGTGATGATAAATCACATCTGTGTGCAAATGAGCTTGGACTGAGACACCTGCGCTCATTTCCAAACAGCAGGTTTCACCTTTTCAGCAGCATGGGTTTCTAGAAGACATGTTGAGAGAGAAGCTGCAAAACATTAAATCTTTTGAATTATACATACATTTTCCAGAGCACATTGTTAGTCATGTTGTACAAACATCTTCTCTATCCATTACCTCTCCAATAGGAGTTGAAGTGGAAGGAACATGTGGCCTCGTTGTCTGGTGGGATCAATAAGGGTGTTTTATAGCCTGTGCAATGTGTCACAATCGATCCTGGGATCACTTGATGACCTTGATATACAGTGAGTACTCACTGAATGACCTTGGCAGACAGGCAGAACATTGAACAAAGACTTAAAGCATATAAATTAAGTGCCTTTTGTATCACAGTAACAGCAAATAGGTATTTAGATATGCCTTATACTGTCTTCTCAAAGAGCCTTGTATCCTAAACCAGTATGCTGCCAGTACAAAGTCCTCCAATGGCTGTAAAACTGCTATGAAACAATATTAGTTAACATTTTGCAAGATGCCAAATTTTATCATGTGTCAAGCAAAGTTAATAACTAGCTAACAAGTAAGAAACAAGAAAAAAATACAGGCTCTACTTTGTTTTTACAGCACCCAGTATTTGGTTAATTAAATTTTTTCTGACCAATAGTGTAGGGTGACCATATTTTCAAACCCTGAAACCAGGATAATATGCATTTATGCACGCACAATAGGAATTTTCATCAAGCTGGGGGACAGTTATTTCAGCACGTAGCACACCAAGCATACCTTTCAACGCCAAGGACGCCACAAATTTAGCGTTTTCGTTTCTGTTACTTTATGAAGGAAGGCGTAAGCCTCCGGGAGATCTTTAGAAAATATCAACTTTCTCTTCAGCATGACAACTAACCGTTAGCATACTGATGGGTCCTGTCAAAAAGCTGCGTGATGCTTGCCTGTGACTCAGGCTTGCATCAGCCTTGACAACAACACATTGATTGATTGACACACATAAATCAGTGATGAATTCAGACATGTGGTGCGTTGTTGATGTTTTCATATTGGGTTAGGTAATAATGTGAGCACTGAAACAAGTTACTATTTTAATTGTAAAATAAAACTCAGGCCAGTCTGGTAATGAATGTTGAAAACTGTTACATTTTAGTGTGTTAGGGATATTTGTCGGGACTCTGGGCTGTTTTAGTCTGAACACTCAGTGATCCTGCAGCATGACCAAGAGTCAGCAGTGAATTATGCAAAATTCTGCCCATTATAAAACACAAACTTAAATGCACTTAACAGATAGCAGGACAGGTCTGAATGCGGCAACCTGCACACACACACAGACACACAATCAATCACAGTCACATTTATTGCAAGATCCTCTGTGGTTTCACTTTCACCTCTCAGCTGTAGTAAATGATTTGATGACTTTGATGAATAATGAATGCCTGCATGCTGTAAAGTAAAGGTGTATCTTTCTCTCTGTTCTTCTCATATCTCTCTGTCTCCTTGAAATTACTCTATATCACGTTGATTCACAACATTGGATCACATTCCCTCTGGCCTCTGGCTAATGTGCTCTTGTAGATCTGTTGATTGGGTGAGTAAGCGAAATGCTTGTGTGCAAAGTGAAGTCAAGGTTACCTCTTCCACCCGACTCTGATGCTCCATCTGATTCCAAACGGCGATCATTTTTTCTCCATTTATCTGGCCAATACCCTGCACCTTTCAGATATGCGATTGCTGCTCAAGGCCGCACTCTTACCCATTACCTCCTCTTACTTGTCCTCTTGAGGAAGACATGATTCAGCAGCATATTTGTGACTAAGCAGAAATGGCTCAATAATCTGCATCTTTAGAGGTAAAATTATGTGAAATCTGATACTTCTGTGTCTCATTAAATGCTTTCCGAGAAACATTTCTCTCCAAGAGGTAAGATCTTCTGTCTTAAGTGGATTGACAACCACCTGAGCTCCCCATTTATGTTTTTGCTGTTTCTGGTCCTGCATTTTTGTCCATTTCTGCTTCATTTTCACTAGTGTTATTGCTATATGTGCATGTGTCATTGCAATTGCCTTAAGTTTTGTTTTATATATCGTTTCGTAATAAGTACATCTGGCCCTCATATGTTGAATGCATTCCTATGAAATACCTTTGAATCTTGCTGTGATGATACAGTTTGTTTTGTGCAAAGCTGCAGAGTGACACAGGTGGAACGTGACAAAGTCACTTAAAAGAATACTCCACCTTTACCTTTTGAGTATCAAATACTTGCTCCCCTTTTGGCTCCAGAGAAGTACCCTGAAAAGTATGTAGATTGCTTCTTTGTGGCTGTAGTCAGCTTGGATTCACAGCAGTGGCAATGGATTCCAGTTAAGACCCAAAGTGACAACAACAAAAACTTTCATGACAAACAATTCTGCAGTTTGTTTTTACTTCTCCACTGTTGGTCCGTATGTTTAGTATGTTCCAAATAATTGTTACTGTTGCTAAATATGCTACTTCCAGCAGAGCTTTAGAGATATATCGGGTACAGGACAGTAGAGTATAGTAGTATGTAACTATCGTATTCAGGAATGTTGTGGAGAAATCAATCAACAACATTTCTACATTTTTAGTGGAGTATTCCCTTCATCTCCCTTCAAGAAGTAAATTTGTGCATCTCATTCTCAACACCGACATCCCATTTGTATTGTCTAATGCTTGAAGGGTCTGCAGCTTTGCAACAACATGTGCTGTTAAGGACAGATATGTCCACATCTTCTGTTAAATCCTGCTGTGTATTCACCATCTTTCTTTGTCCTGTCCTCTCTGTTTCCCAGTTGATCAAAGTATGTTTGAGAACTCCACTGCCCAGCAGCAGAGTCCTCAGACCTCTAGGTCAGGCCAGCCCTCGGCCCGACGCTCCCTAGCTTCACCGAATTCTAACGTGGGGTCAAGCTCCATCGACTCTCCGTCCTCTGGAAGCCAACAGAGGCTTAAAAACGCCATTAATCTGGGCAAGGCGGTCGGTGCAAAGGTTAGCACAGCACAAGCATTAAGTTCTGCAGGTCCTCTCGTCATGTATTCCCTTAACTCTTCATATTTGGGTTATAGAGTAAATTATTATTGTTGCATCTGCGGAATTGATTTGAATTTGACTCAAAAGTGTCTTTCTTCATTTCGATCTTTCTTTCTTTTGCCTCTTTTCTGTCTTGCTTTCCTCTTCCCTTTTGTCCGTGTTTCCTCCATCTTTCTTTCTTTCTTTCAGGTCAATGACTTGTTAAGAAGAAAGGAGTCCAGCCACCTCGGGGACATTGGGGTCACTGAGGTCAACAAGAACGTTGGTGCCGTATGGAGCTGCATGGACCAACTCAACCACACCACTGCTAACAGGTACGCACACAGACATTTCCTTTGTATTTGTGAGGAGAGAACTTCTACATGTCTGCGTCAGTTTTCTCTTAGCCTCTGCTAAACATCATCATACTCTTATTTTTAACCTTAATCCTGAACCCAAGATCATCACAGACATTTACCATTTACTCTCCCAAGTTAGTTTTTAGACTTGTGTCACTGCTGCTTTAATTTCACATAGTGATTCAGGCGGTTTGGTTTTCCTTTAATCTTTCTGGTTAAATAATGATATATTTTCTATGTATTTCTTTTTAGGATCACAACTTACCAAGTCCACACATTCAATTTAATGATAAAACGACTGGAATTATGTGAAATAAGATAAATCCAAACTATTAAATTACCTGTGCTCAAAGAGGTGTCTATCACTTTAAATTAGGCACTGGTTTAGAAAAGGTGAATGATTTTTTCCTGTGAAATGTGGTTTTAAATTAAAGGCTTTTCAGTTTCTTATACAGTCAAAATTGTCTGTTCAGGTATACGGTGCACACACTTGTACATTCCACAGGTTGTGTCTGTATTTGTGGATTTGTTCCAGAAGCATCGATCCGTTGTCTCTTCAACCGAAGATCAGTCAGGCAGAAGTCATTTTTCAGCAGCTCTGTTACCATTTGTCTCCAGTTACTGGACTGTGAATAGATTCAGTTTAATTTACCAGTGATTATCTGTAAAGATTTTGCAGACTGGTCTGGACAGGTGGAGCTGAGAGTTTTTTTTACATAATTACTGACCGATTCCCTATTGTTTAAAACTAGATGTATGAGGTGAAATATGCAGTGGACTCTTATCGTTAGCTGACTCTAAGCTTCTTATCGTTTTTCTGTAATGAAAGCAGCATGACCTCATTATCATTTCTTCTTATTTATTCCAGTATTTGTATTGTTACTGACATTATCTATAGATTAGGGGTGTACAGATTAACCAGTACGTATCGGGAAACCAATAAAAAAAGTCAGGTCCAGCTACATTGATACAGAACCACAGATCTGATCCAAATTCTGAATGAAATTCTCCCTCTCAGCCCTGTTGCAATTATAGCTTCTGTGTGCATGTCAGTTTGTGCAACCCGCTGCTCTCCCTCACATACCCGCTTCAAGCCATCCGCGACATACCTACACTGAAAGAAATGATATAATCCTGCCTGACATTAGCAGTCTTCAAAATCCGCAGCAATCTGCTGTCCCTTGATAACAACGAGGTGTCTGTGTTCTTTGTATTCTCATACAGCACGGCACCGCTTATTGAACTGAATTGTCATCCCTGTCATCTCCAGTGAAAGTTCTTTCTTTTCGCCGTGAGATGTAGTTACCATGGTAATTTCAATTCAGCTTGAGAAATTAGTATATTTTCATAAACACTTTTAGTGGACAATATGGAGCCATTAGAGTGATCACCGGGAGTAAAAGTGGATTTACGATCTCGCTGGGACTCACACATACTTCAAACACATGATGATGAAGTGATGCCGTTTCACCTATATATAATCATAAATGGCTACAACTCCGTCTAATGCAATCAAAATTTTACAGTTCGTCATGTCTCTCGCTCTCCACCTACCCTTTTCTCCTCTCTTCAGTCACATCGCCTCCTTCGACTCCTTCCCTCGGCTGGACCCGCCACCCCCATCAGGGAAGAAGCGTCTCCCTCGGGCGCTGAAGACCACCCAGGACATGATGATCTCCTCTGACCCCGTCGTCTCCTCTCCAGACACTGCTGACTCCTCCTTACTCTCTTCTCCTGACAAGACGCCCCTCATCGCCAAGGAGGAGCTGAGGAGCAGCAAGGAGCAGCAGCGGGAAGAGAAGGAGGAGGCGGGGTCAGAGCAGATCCCAGTGCCGCTGGAAGCAGCGGAGAATAAAGTAGGAAGCAACGGCAAAGTTGATGGAGTGACAGGTGGAGAAGAAGATGATGTGGAAAACGGGAGCACCGAAGGAGGCGGGGAGGAACATCAGCTCCAGCTCTCTGTACCAGACCTCATCAACAAAGATCCCCCCCTGCTGGAGTCCAGAGCTAAGCCCTGCGACATCTGGCAGAAGATTCCAGGGCCAGACTCCCGGCTGGCCTCCACCCCCTGCTCGGGGAAAACTCCCTGCCGCATCAGCCTGGGCGAGGAGGCCCTGCTGGGGAATGGTGCCCCCTGCGGTAAAGGCACCGGAGTGAGTTCTGAAGACTTGGAGCACCACCCTGACCTGCTGTCGTTTGAGTAATGAACAGAGCCGGGGTCAGATAACAGTTCAGTATGTCAAAAGTTTTGGAACTCTTTCTCTTAATTTCGGCTCAAGAGGTAGTTCAAACAGACTGCTATGAGTACTGCGGATCAAATATTCACTACCCCTTTTAAATACATAATTTGCTCTGCTCTAGGGTTTGCTTGAGGAGAAAGGGAACAAGTTCTTACAGAAACTTTTATCAACGTTTTAGATGTGTGGATAAGTTTAAAGGTCACAGTAATACAATCTGACCCTCCAACATGGTTGATCAAGTCAGTCAGAAACTGCCAGCTTCTTCCCAATGATATGAACACTAAGCTGACCAGCACAAGATGATGAATAAGTAGCAGGAGAGAAAATTAGTTGGAGGTGAGGATTCGTTATGGTGCGGAGAATTCAGTTTTAACATTTCATCTACAAAACACAGAGCTGTTAAGGAATATAATTTTATCAAAGTGTACTTACAATGTTTTAGCTTAAACAACAGGTTTATAACATGTCATGTCTGCTTTAGGAATGCAATCATCAGTAATACTAGATAAAGTAATAATTAATGTAATGAAAAATCCCTTTAAATGAATTACTGCCAAGTGAAGAAATAACTTCATACTGATGCGAACATACAAAAAATAACTTTGCACCAAATTGTTTGGGTTGTACTTTTGCTCATAAGTTATTGTAGTATCAAGTCATTCATATCACTTCATTTTTAAAACCATTTAAAGGCACATTTGTTTCATGATGGTCACACTGTAACAGTCCATATCATACAAAGCTGCTACAATGAAATATAGCATTATATACAGTTATAAAGCAATATAATTTAAATTCACTGTAATTAGAATAAGTAAGGTTTTGCAGAATTTTCATCGGTGAAATAATATTTCCAGCATGGAAATTTCTAATCTGACTGCAGACTCAGGTGGAGACAATGGAAATAAGAGAAAGAGGCTGAATGAATGTGGATGTGTTGGAGATGGAAAGGTGTGTGTGTGTGTGGGGGGGGGGGTGTTCACTTTCTGTTCAGTTGGTACAAAATGTCAAGCAGCAGTTTCTGCCAGAGTCTGATCAAGACTGAAAGCCTTTTGACCCTTAGCTTAATCCATATTGCATTATTTATGACCCTCTTTTAGACCAGTGGGAGCCCTGAAAGCGACCTTTTTTAAAAAGAAGAAAAAATGTCTAAAAAGAATATATAAATAAACACAACCAAATCAGTTCAAAAAACAGGTGTAAGTCAGATTTTTTGAAGGACTCCAGCATAAACAGCAGCTATTTTGCTTTTGCGAATTATTTTTCCTATCACGTTTTGTTGCTGGAAGAATAATCTGATCTGTCTCCACCAGATTCAGAGTTAAACAGTGCCCTCTGGCAGCAGGAGTGCCGGGGCATACATTGCATGTGGAAAAACAGGTAATTTGCTGTTCTAATTCTTTAAAGGTTTGTATTAGTTGTTGATTTGATTTGATGACCAGCAGAAGCAATATTCAGCAGTTTGTGCGACCGGACTTGGGTTATTAACATGAGCACATCTCTCGTCCAGGATGAGAATGGCTTCAAGGCTTTCTGGCTGCTGACAATAATTGTCTTCTAAACTGGCTGAACTAAAAGTGGATTCTTATTAACCCCCCCCCCAAAACCTGACAGAGAGTCGGGACGGACATATGGATAGATGGAAAGACGGGCGGCATGCGGAGGGCGGGCTGGTGAAAAGTTGTTTTTGAGCAAAAGAGAGGCAAAATAATGAGCTGTCAACAGAAAGAGATGAAAGAGGTGTATTTTATTCAAGCAGATCACTAAGTGACAGACCAAAGACTCAAATTAGCGGCTCAGTCAGACAGGTTGTTTTTGTCATTTTGTGTAATTGCTCTAAAAGTTTATCTTCACTGATAAGATTTTAGTGAGCTGTCTGTGTTAAAAGAGAAGCGACCAGTCATCCAGAAGTTATTTTTCTCTTTTACTTTCCACTACTGAAAAAAATGAAAACCAAAGTCAAAGTAGTTAAAACACTTAACTAGCAATTAACATCCTTGATTTAAATCTTCTGACTTTTCTGACTCACCAGAGAGAGACGTTGAAGTGTTGAGCAGGTTAAAGGTGAGTTAACAGTAGATGTACTTTAGATGTACGGTCACTCTGCTGCAACCTCATCAATATGTCACTGTTGGAGCTGCAATGGTGGTTTTAGCACAATCAAAGTGAAAGTCTGTTTTATAACACTATTATATGAACTTCTGTAGATCTGTGTGACTGGATTAAGATTCACTTTAGACACACATGGAGAGCAAGCATACAGATTCAAAATCCCGACCCTAAAAATGACCCTGAGGACCTGAAGTGGCCTCTCTAAGTGACCTCCGTGTGCTTGCAGGTATTTCCTATACCTCAAAATATAAAAATAATTCCCAGAAGACAGTGAGACGGACACAGAGCCGGCTGTAATTGCAGTCAGGTCGTGCCCAGCAGAATGAGAGGAATGTGGCGCTGGACACTGTTAGAGAAAGGAAGCTTTGTCTCTCTGTCTGTCTCCTGTCTCACTGTCTTTGTCTTGCATACTACACATGTCCTAAAAGATCCCCATTTATTTTAAAGCTGTACCAAAAAAAAAAAGATGTCCCCCACAAGCCAACCCAAATTATAAAAATAAACATTCCCAAGTAGTTTTATCTTACAAACCGACTTTTCTATAAACAGTTTTTGTGGAAACTGCTGTTGAGTGTTTTCAAATGCCATTTTTTTACTGCTTTGAGGAACACAAACAAACTGTATCTCGGTATCTGTATTGAAGAGGCAGATATTTCAGTAGTAGATGTTTCCAAAACAGTTTGCATAGCTAGGATTGTGACATAATTTTGACATAAAAACAAATTCTTTTATGTTTTTGGTGCTTAAGTTGTGTTTTTGTGTTATTATTAATTGAATCTAATCTAATACCTTAAAGACCTTGTTTCAAATTATTTTGTTTGTATTTCTGATAACATTAAACTGACTAAATGTGCAACAATGAAAGTTAAAGTTTAGGTGAAAAAACATGATTTATAGTTAACACTAAAAGACTCGGCTGATTCATCAGGACTATGTGGGTGCAGTTTGATGAGATCTGACTGACAGTGCTGGCAACACAACTGTCATCACATTTTGATTAAAATTTTGCTAAATCCTGATTGGTACATGGAAATATTTGACATTATCTACCAAGAGAAGCACAGAGAGAAACGCAAATAGAGAAATCGCCCATGTGAAATAAAAAAAAATAGTTTTGCAGAAAATGTTGTGTTCGTGGTCTTAAAACTAAAGAAAGTGTTGTACCTTATCAACTGTCTGTCTTCTGAATCTGAAATAGATTTTAAGCGATACTGAGGTTGTATGTAAAATGTAGGTGATGAGGCGGTCTGTCACTCAGAACAAAGATAATTGCCACACACCTGGATGAACCAGGTATCCGAGAGGTTTTGACCGAACTGAACAAAACTAAACACACACGATCAGACTGACAGCAGATGCTTGTATTAAGTCAGGAGATGAAAGCAATAAGAGACTGAAAGGTTGCTCAGAGGGCATCAGACTGTCTGAGATTCCTTGTTTTTTTTCTTTTAGAACCACAAAAGTAGATATATTTTTTATTTTCTGATGAAGGAACAGTGATGTATATTTTATCTTTTTTACAATATCTGTGAATATGCAAATTTGCTCTTGCTCTAACAAATGAAGGAAAGTGATTTATTTTGATTATGGTAATCTGTCTTATTTAGCGTCCTCAGATTTGGATAAAAGAAGAAATGATCTTGCTTTCTGTTGTTACGTTGTTGTGTTTATGACTTTGTAAAGCCAGCTGACATAACTTCAGCAGCTGTGATGAATGAAGGGAGCTAAATGCTGCACATAAAGGCTTTTTGAAAACAAGGCATGAATGGACCGCTAGAGCAAACCTGTGACTCTCTTAGTATATCTGAATTTTAAATTTTTTATGGGATGAAAATGTGCTACAGAAATCAAAAAGAATCGATGATTTTGCCCTTTTTTTGTTTTATTTTCCTAATGTATCTTTTTTTCTGTGAGGATGTAATAACTCCTGCAATGACTGTAATCGTTTTTAAAAATCTGGAAATAGATCTAACCATGGCCTTGTTGTTTTGTGTTGTGTGGCTTTGTGTCTTTTTAATGTGACTTTTTTTATTCCTGCGACGATGCCAGCCAGCTTCCCACTCAACCCTACCACCAAACTTCCTGTTTTGACAGAGCTGATGTCCTCGTCAGTTTCTGCAGGTTTTTTCTTCTGAATCTGTGTCAATCTCCAGCGAAGACGGGCCCTTCTGTGTCCTCCTTCCGTTTGACAGATCGTCTGTTTTTAAGAGAACCAAACACGGGGAGACGGCGGTGGCAGGAATTCAGGAGTTAAAGCTGCTCTTGATATTTAATTAATCCGTGTTTGTCCTAATTTGTGGAAATCCTGGTCTTCCTCTTGTCGTCCCCGTGTGTCACCGCCGGCCTCGTGTTTGTTGCTGTGTCGAGATGAGTTAGAGCCCGTCAGGAATATGACAGAGGAAGAATCCAAAAATGTAACTGACTGCAGGGTGAGGCGGTTTATTAAGTTCCACATGCGTGGTGTAAACAGCCAGTCAGATAAGACGCACAGGTCACATCACTGTTTAATAATTCAAACATGATGCATTTATTCATTCTCTACCAAGGAATCTAGGCCTCCATGCATAAAGAATCATCAAGTGTTGGGGGGCAGTTAGTGGGCTGGGTGAAGTCTATAAAGCATAAACTTGTTTGAAGTTTCTTTATTGCATGTCCCAATATAAGTTTCATTGGCTACTTTGTGAAAATAAGTATTCCCCAGAAATAAAACTCAGTTAACCAAACAATGCTCATATGAGCTGTTAATTCTTTGGCAAGTTGGCTCTTCTTCTCCTCTCTCCTTCAATGCCCAGCAGGCTCAAGGCCTCTGGATAGAGATCGGGCTGCAAAGCCACTGAACCCAACTTCTATTGTCAAGCATCTTGCTCTCCAGCCACCTTGCCGACATTCTCTGTGCAGTCTATCATTCTTGGTGAGCTTCCTCTTAAATGCCTTTTCCAGGTGGTCCTCCCACTGTACTGTCAACTCCAGGAGTACTACTTGCTTTATGGAATCGGTTACAAGAACCACATTAGGTCTCGAGGTGCTGGTCGCAATGTGCTGTGGGAGCTCTGGCATTGATGGGAGGCAAAAGACAATTTTACTGTAGCGAAGAACGGTAGAATTTCCAGCATTATATAATTCTGCTCCTAAAACATAACAGGACTTGGGAATAAAATCAAAAGCATGGCAGAAAATCTCAGACGGGAGGAGACAAGCAGGTTAGAACATGTATGTTTTTATTGTTCACATTCGGATGTAGTCCGTAGCAACCCGAGTTAGCTGCTCTGTAGAAATATGTGCTGCACTTCATTCTGCACACTAGCTTGCACAAAGAATTAGTTCAGTGTTGCTGGATGATCTTCCTGTACTGCAACCACCTGTGATGTGGAGTGTTGTCAGAGGTCCAACAGACCTTAACATTCAACCCGCAGACATCAGCGCAACAAGAACCAGTGTGGAGTTTCTCCTTAAGGCCCCAAAAACATTTGGGCTGGCCCTGCATGATACTTTATACATTCCTACTATGCTCCGCAATATTCTGCTGATTATGTCACAGTGTTATTTGTATGAGTACAAAGCAGAGAGAGATCTGAAAGCAAAATTAACACAGCAATCAGACAGACTTCCTTCGCTGTAAATGAGTCGCCTTCTTTGTGATTGTACAAAATAGGCTCCATACTGTGCGAGGTCGTCTGCGAGGCTGTAATATCTATGCAATGTATATTTAATACATTCTATTATTTAATGAGGCAGCCAGCGTCACACCACTGCCTCCTCTTCTCCACATGCTTTTTGCCACTCAGACAGAGCGAAGGGTGAGTAAAGTCTGCTCACTGAGATGGAACACTGATTCACCAGATAAGGAGCTCTCTAGAACTAGATTAAGATCTAAGAACTAGATTGTGTGTTGTAACCTGTTTCAGAAATTTTAATTTAAGAACAGCTGCAGCTCCTGATGGGCGCTACAAGTCAAATTAAATTTGGAAAACCCACAACGTGGCACATCAGACTGTCCTTTCATAAGTTTCATGAAACTATGATCAGTGATGGGTCTTGATGCTGATTCAGGGGTTTCTGGTCTCTGCACAAGCATGTGGTCGTCATACAAATCACTATTTAGTGTGAATTTCAGTACAGAATATTTATGCAGCTACTGGTCTGTCCACCTGATTTGCAGTAACATTTCTTTAGGGTTTTCTTGATTTGTGCCCACTACAGGTACCACCATCACCCAGAACAGCAACCTATCCATGGTTTGTCATATTCACACACTCACTCACACACACACACACAGGCAGCCTCTCAACCCTCTTGTCTGCCAGAGCATTAGTCACTGCCTGCAGGATGGAGTTCTTATCAGGTTTATTGATCAGCATGGGGAAGGATTATGGTCCTGTGTGTGTGTGAGTGAGAGAGAGAGTCACGATCTGGAGGACTCTCTTGACCCAATCTAGCACCACAAATATCAAAACATCTTCATCTGCAAAATCTAATCATAACTGCTGCACAACAAGTGGGGCCTAGAGTTCCCAGTTATGGCAAATTACTGACGGACAGACTGATACAAATATTACTTTCAGTATGTTCAAAAAATCTAACTGAAGGAGCTTCAGCCTATTTCCAAAAGTAATCTACTTTGTATATTAAAATGTTCTTCAATGGAACTGCACAGATGTAAAAAGCCACTACAAGATACAAGAAAATCAGTGGTTTTCAGTTTTCTTTCAGCAAATCCTCCTTTGAAAGCAGAGAAAAATTAATGTCGCCCCATATTTCTTGTATATCAATGCAGTTTGTGTCAAACATTAAAAAATAGGGAAACAAATGACAGAAGAGCCAAACATCTTGATGGCATATGGTGAACATGTTAATCACTGAATGTCAGCCCTCATAATATGTGCAATGTTAACAGAAAATATTTTCTGATTGTTTTGTTGAGGTATTAATCAAAATCATATAACAGAACAAGGATTATTAAAGTGAAGTTAACCATGGAAACAGTGCTTATGTAGTAGCCTGATCATGAGTAAATACAAACTTTAAAGACAGGGTATGATATGGATACAGCCTAACTTGCTTTCCTTTGGTAAGTGTTCATGGTATAAGGGAGATAGTACAAGCTAAAGCAGTAATTCCCAACTAGGGATATGTGTACTTGTACCTTGTGTGGAACCAGTAGCTTAGTTAGTTGTTGGTAAAAATGTATCCACATACCTTTACTTCGGAGGAAAATAAATGCCTAAAATGCATAAAAGTAGGGTTACAAACAGTTGTGAGGCTGGTATGTTTATTGTCACAACAATAAACTACAGGACACGCCTCCCGCAAACCTGAGTCAGTTGTAACGCCTTAAAAAATTGTTTACAGGTGAGCAGAGAAGTCAAAAAGAAGAACAAAAGAAATAGATAAAACCCAGACTAAACATAAACGTGTGAATGTGGAACAAATTATTACACAATCGCTGTGTCTTATATAAAAAATAATATTGTAACAATGCCCACTTCCATATAATTAGTGTGTCTGCATAAAGGAAACAACAGACTACAGGAGGGGGAAGTGCATGTAATGTGCCTCTGCCTCATTTATTATTTTCACATTAGGACACCTTGTGGCATATTATCACTTGCTTATTATCAAGCAGGCAATCAAGTCGTGCTGTTATGTTAATTAATTTAAATTAATTTACTACTCTAGGAAAAAATGTACACTTTCTCTTTGAGTTTAGTTGAAGGTACTTGCAGTGACAGTTTAGTAGTGCGTCTCATATGAGGATAACGTTGCAGGTCCATCACATTAGCTTCTCTGAGGGCCACTGTAAACGTTTTCAAGGAGACGATCCCCCTGAAACAGTACAAAGCAACTGTTGTAGTTTGAAGGAAAGCTAAAATTAAAACTGGTATGGTATAGAGGCCATCTTTACAGTTATTAATCCAAGGGAACACATGCTTACATGTGTCCCATTTTAAATGGGAAAGGAAACTGTAGAATTTAAAACAGAGAAATGTTTTGTTTTGTTGTATTTATGCTTACATTTTTATGTTACTGCCTTTGTTTCCCCCTTGCTAGGATCCACAGGAAGTGTCAGAGATCTCTTGGGTTTTCCTTCCTCGCCTTTATTCTTTTTCTCGTTCTCCTCTCGTCCTGTCTGCCTTTCTCTCTCTCTCAGGGCCGATAGTGTCTCAGACAGTAATTGCTCCCGTCTCTCACAGCCCAAGTGTCTGTTCCTGCCTGACTTTGACTTTTGTTTGCGGTTCACTCATGACTGACCAAAAGACAGAAGTGGAGTCTTCAGAATGAAAAGGGTATGCTGTGTACATCTAATTTCTCCTCTGTCCTTACCTCATCCTTCCATCCATATGTCATCTAGGCGGCTATTGCAGCCTCTCAAAGCCCAGACAGAGCCTCCTTTATGGTAGGATGTCAAAAGAGAGCCCTCTAAACAGGATGGGAGTGGTGGGATGCAGACAGACAATCAGGCTGTTAACTGAAGCAACATCAGTCTGTCTGTGCAGTAAAACAGGCCACATGGGATTTACTGCAAACACAGTTTAACAAGCCATTAAATGCAGAGTTGAGTCTTAAAAGCTTATTTTTCTTCAGGGGAGAGAAACAGAAAACCAGTCAGTGAGGTATAATTGTTTCATTTGTTTCCAATGCAAATCAAACTCTTATTTGGAGTCAAGTTCCCACCGGAGGGAAATGACTGATTTCTTTTGTTTTTTTGTTACTTGTATTTTATTTTTTTTCAAAGCTAGATATGAAGCCTGCATTAAACAAAATGCATTGTTTTGTTCATTTCCATTAAACCAGGTTCCCTCAGGAACTGAGTAAAAACATTTAAGTGCCGCGCCAAAAAAAAGCAGCAGTCAGTTAATAAACTGACTCTCCTCTGGAGCAGCTTCCACTTTTTGTTTTATACATAGATGAAATCAGATGTTAAATGCTGTAGAGCTTACCTGTTATTTTAACTTGTCCACTCTTCATTGAGAAGGTCGACTATGGATCACACCTGGCTGCACATAGTGTAACACAAACAAACTGGCATGCAGTGTTGCTGGCCTAACTTAGTGATTCTACAAACAGTGGCCCGACGTTGCCCAGCGGCCCTTCACCCCCAACCTTCAGTTCAGAAACCACAAAAAACCAACAACCTTAAATACAGTTGCAAATACATGAGTGCAACTTTAGCTTGTCTACTGAAATATGTTGATTTTGGAGCAGCTTCCTACAAAGTTAAGGAGTCATGTTAATACTTACTTTTTGTCCTTGTTTTTAGCTGTGCTTTTGTTGCAGCTCTAAGACTGACAATCTCAGTGTGTCTGTCCACCACTGTCTGTCCAGACTGAAATATCTATTGGATGGATTGCCAAGAACGTTTGTACAGTTATTCACGGTCAAGTGAATTTTATTTATATAGCCCCATATCACCAGTTAAACATTTGCCTTAAGGGGTTTTATAATCTGTAGAGCATACAATACCCTGAAAAAACTTTTACCAGGGAAAGAATTGAAGAAAGCAACAGAGGAGGGACCCCTTCACCCAGGACGGACAGACAAGCAATTGATGTCATGTGTAGAGAATAGACCAACATTATTGAATCAAGATCAAATCAAACTGACAAAATTATAGATGGATCGTAACCATATATGAAGAATATGGATCTGGGAGGGTGCCGAGCAACTTGTCTCCACCATGGACCTGGAAGAGGACAGACTACACAAACACAAAAGAGACACACCATTCACACAGATTACTCAATTTGGGGATCGCCTGCCTTTTCCTGTAGCACCACCATGAGGCCAAAGTTTTCACTTATCCAACAAAATATCTCAACATTTACTAGAGGGATTGGCACAGCATTTTGGAGAAACATTAATGTTGTGGTGAAATTTTAAACTAAGCTGCAGAACATTATCCCTAAACATCACCATGTTAGCATTGTCATTGTGAGCATGTTAACATCCTGATGTTAGCATATAGCTCAAAGCCCTGCTGTGGCTAAGTACAGCATCACAGATCCTCTGGCATGGCTGTAGACTTGTTTTATTGGGTAATGTGACATTTGTCTCTTTTATGTTCTTTTATATAAAGTTAATTACTCAATGAAATATTCAAATATGTATCTCAGATCATAAATTCCAAAGGAGACGTCTGGTCACAGTAAGTACAGAGTAAAATGCTGGTCTGAGGTCAGTGAAGTGAAGAGGACACATTCTTCTTTTTGGCCCAAAACATAGACACTGGCACTGCAGTAAAATGTGCCTTTTCATCTTGACATGATGTGAGAAGATCTTTTGTTTTCTTTCTAGAATTGAATAGCAAAAGTGGTGTTCAGTTTTGTGTTTCTTGTGTTTCATGATTTATTCAAATTCAAAAGTCAAAATCCTTTTTTTTTTTGAAGAAAGGTATAAGCACCACCTCTGAAGGCTACAGCCTCAAAAGTGAACACATAATTGAATTTTCTCTAGAACAGCTACTAAATGGACTTATGGTTCTCTCAACTGCGGTTTCCAAAGCCACGAATGAATTTGAATCTCAACTTTCAAGCTAACACAGACACTTTATCTGCCGCTGAAGACCACATAATATGATTGTAAACTGTTTTGTGTGTAAAAAGCTTAATCTGTAAATTAACTACTAAATCTATTAGATAAATGCATTTGAGTAAAATGTACGGTATTTCCCTTTGAGATGTAGTGGAGTAGAAGTAGAAAGTGGCATGAAAATGAAAATACAATATAAGTAAAGTACAGGTACCTCAAATTTGTACTTAAGTACAGTATTTGACTAAATGTACTTCGTAACTGTCCACCACTGATTTGGGGTGCTATGTCATTGTCTCGTGGGACATAGTGCATTTCAAATTCATTTAAATGGTCGCTTCACCCAAATTGCCAATAAATAAATAAATAAGATAAAATTAAAATGTACTCACTGGCTTCTCCCTAGTGGCATCTGGCCATTTAGACATTTTGTTTCTGTTTGAGATATCTGTGTCACCAATATGATGGAGGTGAATGGAGTTTAGGTTGTAATACAACATTTGGAAAATCAATATCTTTTTTCAGAAACATTTTTATTCTGGATTATCCGTATCCACAGAACACAATGTGTGCAGTTTTATCCTTCTACTATTATTTTCCACTGTAGAAATATTCCTTAGGACACAGTATGATATGTGGAAATCACCCCACCCATATCCAACCTGACTGGACAAGGAGGCCCCCTCCTCACAAATTAAAAACTCCTGTTTGTATAAAACACGTTTTGTTTCCTGGTCATTCAATCAGTAAATCGCTGTGATTCTGTAGATAACCAGCAGGTGGCTGTCAAACTCAAACTGAAACTTTTTCTTCTCTCGTCCTCTTTTCAATTAGTTCATGTTTCCTGTTCCTCCCACCTGTTTGCAGGTCGTCAGGTGAGTAAACTGAAACTGAAAAATGACGATAAATCGACACAGATTGGGCCACAGTGAAAGCAACAATGCGTCATCTTTGTTATAAGTTTGATTTTGTTTAGGAAATTGGCAGTGACTCCGCGTTATCACTTAAATGTGAAGTTCACGAGAGATTTCCATCGGCACACAAAGTTGAAAACAAGGATCGGTAACTTTCAACAAAGACATTATTAATTATTATGGGCCTATTCATCGGCTGCTTCTCATCATGTCCCATGACAGTATTGAAAAGGGGGAGTGTCAGTGGGGGTCCCGGGTCTTGTTAATGAGGTTAGCTGCAGACGGGAAGAAGCTGTTTTTTTGTGGCGAGAGGTTTTGGTCCTGATTGACCTCAGCTTCCTGCCAGAGGGGAGAGTCTGAAACAGTTTGTGTCCAGGGTGGGAGGGGTCAGCTGCAATCTTTCCTGTTCGCCTCAGAGGCTGCAATCTTCCTTCTCTTCTGGACCTGTACTCCTCGAGGACTCTACGAGAAGGAAAGATTGCAGCCGACCCTTCCCACCCCGGACACCAACTGTTTCTTCCCGTCTGCAGCTTGCCTCATTAACAAGGCCCGGGTCCCCCACTGCAAACTATACAAATGTCTCTGCACATGTAAACACCATTTCATCTCGTGTCGGGCACAGATCTGGCACGTCGCACATATTTGTTGTTGATTGTTGATCTTTGTTATTTTTATGTTGTCAGTTTATATATTTATATGTACACAATATTCTCTTCCGTTATGTTACTTCTGCACGGCACAGACCCAGAATAATGCACATGTATAAATCTGCAACGTTGTTCTTCCATTCCATATTTATATGATTCCACATTTATTTATGTCAACTGTATGTTTGTCTACGTGTAGCACCTTATCACCACAGCAAATTCCTCATATGTGTAAAACACTACTTGGCAATAAAGCTCCTTCTGATTCTGATTCTGAAATAATGGGGCCAGTGGTTGAAAGAATCCATTCCTCTGGTGATACACAAAGCACATGAATGACCTAGTTTGCTACAGTATTGAAAGGTATGTTCTTACATTGCAGGCACAACTCTGCAGGTATTTGTTTTTACCAAAAGGCAAGGCACGTTTATCTGTATTGCACCATTGAACAACAAGGCAATTAATTCAAAGCACTTTTACTGTAGTACTGTCATCTTCATACTGGCAAATCCACATACTGTAGCAAGTGTTATGATGACGTGTTCAGCTCTGGTAGTTGTTCACTATTGAGACCATCACCTTTGAAAAGCACAGCAAATCCAGCACCAGTCTTGCAGTGATCAAACCCTTTCATTCTGCTCTCATGCAAAGCAAGTGTAAAAAGTGCAAACAGAAAATGAGGACCCCCTTCTTCTGCAGGTTTATGTGGGCCACTGCTTGTCATGATTCATTTCCAGTTTGAAAATGTTCTTCCTCTTTTTAGTAGATAAGCTGTCACCCCCCCCCCCAATCGCAGTTTCTTGGTTCAATCATGATTTCAAAATGTGCCCAATTTCTTTTTACTTATGCATAAATAGAAACATGCGATTCTGCATATGTTTCCACGTTGGACTACAGAAATTATCTACTTAAGTGTGAGTAGCACCAATCTGATGGTCTGAATTGGCACTTTACTGGCAGTTTCTCACCCACATCCACTCACTTGAAAGTTCTTTTCCTTTGCAGATTTCCGCCCGCTGTCATTAAGCCTGTTCACAGCACACAGGGAGCTCTCAGTTTGACACCTGGGGCCAGGTGCTGCGGGGTCTACTAGGAGGCCGAGCGGGACGGCCTACATGTGGCACTGTGACTCACTTACAAGAATATTCAAAGTAAGGCTCTCCATTATTTAAGTTTTAAACTTAGTGGAATTGTTTGCAGGGGCATTTGAATAGTTATTAAGTGCTGTTGTGTTTGATTGACAGGCAATCTGTTTGGGCCCCAAATAATTTAGTGCATTAAAAAGGAATTCCGGTATCTTCTTATTCTCATAAATGTTTATATAAAGTTGTCCCAGAAGTAGATCCTCAGTTAGCCACAATAGCTAATACTGGGGCTAATATCTGATCTGTTAGAAACAAACTTCTCAAAAATAGTTTTGAAAGCTTTAAGAGGCTTGTGACATTGTTTTGTTGGAGCCTGCCCCAAATTGCCACAGCGGATGTAGAGATGGCAATGTTAGCATGTCGACAGTCGACTTATGAGAATAAAACCCAACAATTTTCCTGTAAGTAGACTGAGAGAAGAAAATCCAACTGGTGAGTAAAGTGGGGTTATGAATTATGATCATACATGACTTTTTTAATGCACAACTCTCCAACTCTAATAGAGTGTAGGTGCAGGACACAAAACAGCAACAGAAAAGGAGAGGCTGTCCACAAAGTTAAGTTTTTATATACAGTAAAATAATTTCCATGTTGTGACTTGGTTTAGCTTGTATAACAAGGCTAAAATCAAAATTTTAAAATCTAAAAGTTGAAGAGTGTTTAGCTGTTGAGTCCAATGTTGACTGGGGGAAATAAATCATTCCCTGATGGACAAAACCAAAGACTTATCAGGACGTTTGTATATTGTCATAATGTATCAAACAATTTATTGATCTGCTATTAAATTTTATCCTCCACTTTCTCTCTCGTGGATTCTTCGCTGCAGAGCGTCCTCTTCCGCTTTCTGCCAGGGAAACGAGGATCAGAGTGTTCCTGGACTGCATGCAGGTCTTCTCTGCCACCTCCTGCAAAGGAATTAGACCAACCTGCCTCTCTACCCTGCAGTGTGTCTCGGAGCACAGTCTACCATCACCTTCTGCACGAGATCCATCCATCCAGGTCAGTAATTTGTGCAATTTTTCACGTTACTTGGAAAATAATCTCGGGTTCTAACTAGAGCTCTAGTAACAAATCGGACTCTTGTCAAAGCTACAGTTGAAGTCAGAAGTTTAGATTCACCTTAGCCAAATACATTTAAACTTTCACAATTCTTCACATTTAATCTGAGTAAACATTCCCTGTCTGAGGTCAGTTAGGAGCACAACTTTATTTTAAGAATGTGAAGTGTCAGAATAACAGAAATATTAATCATAGTCTCTGATTAATATTTCTCTTTCATCACATTCCCAGTGTGTCAGAGGTTTACATACACTTAGTATTTATAAGCATTGCCTTTACTGGCTCATTCCTGTTTGTCCGCATCCTTGATGGCACACGCATTGTCAGTCCTGCACACAAATCCTCAAATGTCATTGAGATCAGGGTTTTGTGATGGCCACTCCGATACCTTTTGACTTTGTTGTCCTTAAGGCATTGTGCCACAACTTTGGAAGTATGCTTGAGGTCATTGTGCATTTGGAAGACCCATGTGGGGACCATCTTGATATGTTGCTTCATTATATCCACATAATTTTCCTTCGTCATGATCCCATCTATTTTGTAAAGTGCACTAATCCCTACTGCAGCAAAGCACCAACACAACATGATGCTGCGACCTCTGTGCTTCATGTTCGGGATGGTGTCCTGTGGCTTGCAAGCCTCACTCTTTTTCCTCCAAACAAAAGATGGTCATTATGGCCAAAAAGTGAAATATTTTTTAGTTTAATCACAACCCAAGTGTATGTAAACGTCTGACTTCAACTGTAGACTGGTAAATGTCAGCCAATCAATAACAAGAAATCTCCATAATGCCAATTATGTTTTTGATTGGAGTTAAATCTGATGATTGAAATAATGGTATAAAAAAAAAAGACATTAATAGTACATGAAGAAGATTAAATAAACACAGTACATAAAAATGATGTAGTCATCAAATATTAATGTTTAAAATATGTCACTCTACACAGTGCAAGTTGTACTGTGTAGTTTAGTAAAGTGTGGTTTATTATACACTGCTCAAAAAAATAAAGGGAACACTAAAATAACACATCCTAGATCTGAATGAAGGAAATGATCTCATTAAATACTCCTTTATTTACATAGTTGAATGTGCTGACAACAAAATCACACAAAAATCATCAATGGAAATCAAATTTATCAACCCATGGAGGTCTGGATTTGGAGTCACACTCAAAATCAAAGTGGAAAACCACACTACAGTCCGGTCTACTCCTACTTTGATGTAATGTCCTTAAAACAAGTCAAAATGAGGCTCAGTAGTGTGTGTGGCCTCCACGTGCCTGTATGACCTCCCTACAACGCCTGGGCATGCTCCTGATGAGGTGGCGGATGGTCTCCTGAGGGATCTCCTCCCAGACCTGGACTAAAGCATCCGCCAACTCCTGGATAGTCTGTAGTGCAACGTGGCGTTGGTGGATGGAGCGAGATATGATGAGTCCCAGATGTGCTCAATTGGATTCAGGTCTGGGGAACGGGCGGGCCAGTCCATAGCATCACTGCCTTCCTCTTGCAGGAACTGCTGACACACTCCAGCCACATGAGGTCTAGCATTGTCTTGCATTAGGAGGAACCCAGGGCCAACCGCACCAGCATATGGTCTCACAAGGGGTCTGAGGATCTCATCTCGGTACCTAATGGCAGTCAGGCCACCTCTGGCGAGCACATGGAGGGCTGTGCGGCCGCACAAAGAAATGTCCCCCCACACCATTACTGACCCACCGCCAAACCGGTCATGCTGGAGGATGTTGCAGGCAGCAGAACGTTCTCCACGGCGTCTCCAGACTCATGTCACGTCTGTCACATGTGCTCAGTGTGAACCTGCTTTCATCTGTGAATAGCACAGGCCGCCAGTGGCGAATTTGCCAATCTTGGTGTTCTCTGGCAAATGCCAAACGTCCTGCACGGTGTTGGGCTGTAAGCACAACCCCCACCTGTGGACGTCAGGCCCTCATACCACCGTCGTGGAGTCTGTTTCTGACCGTTTGAGCAGACACATGCACATTTGTGGCCTGCTGGAGGTCATTTTGCAGGGCTCTGGCAGTGCTCCTCCTGCTCCTCCTTGCACAAAGGCGGAGGTAGCGGTCCTGCTGCTGGGTTGTTGCCCTCCTACGACCTCCTCCACGTCTCCTGATGTACTGGCCTGTCTCCTGGCAGCGCCTCCATGCTCTGGACGCTACGCTGACAGACACAGCAAACCTTCTTGCCACAGCTCCCATTGATGTGTCATCCTGGATGAGCTGCACTACCTGAGCCACTTGTGTGGGTTGTAGACTCCGTCTCATGCTACCACTAGAGTGAAAGCACCGCCAGCATTCAAAAGTGACCAAAACATCAGCCAGGAAGCATAGGAACTGAGAAGTGGTCTGTGGTCACCACCTGCAGAACCACTCCTTTATTGGGAGTGTCTTGCTAATTGCCTATAATTTCCACCTGTTGTCTATTCCATTTGCACAACAGCATGTGAAATTGATTGTCAATCAGTGTTGCTTCCTAAGTGGACAGTTTGATTTCACAGGAGTGTGATTGAATTGGAGTTACATTGTGTTGTTTAAGTGTTCCCTTTATTTTTTTGAGCAGTGTAGTTAGATTAATTTTAATTCTTTGACTGCGTTTTTGATTATCTGAACTTTAAAATATTTTTCTGTGTGTATGTATATATCTATATATATTTAATTTTTTTAATACTGCACAGAATAATGTGGCATTGCTGGTTTCAGATAGATGTTTAATCCTGGGTAGTGTTATTATATAGACTGTGGAAAACAACTGATAGGGTAAGTGAGTATTTTTTAAATTCACTAAGTGGTATCCAGCCATGAAGACAGTTCTGATTTTCATTTGCTCAGATTTTGAGATACTATATATAGTATTTGAGATACTATATATAGTATATGGAATTTTGTTAGTAGTGCTGACCATGTAACAAAATTGACTACTAAATTCAAGAGCGACACCTCTGCAGAAATAATGTCCCTGCTACTCTGAACATCCCCCAGACCTCACTGTCAGCAGTTTATTCTTAGGGACCATTTCCTCCTGTAGAAGGTAGTTCCAGTAAAAACGGTAAGGTCTGGATTATCCAGAGTAACTGGGACATTGTTTTTGTAAAGAGATGTTGGATTTCTTTTTATGTAATGTTTTGATTTTGTGAGCACCTCCAACGTACTGAGGTGTAAGCAGACTGGTAAAAATGTGTACTAATGAAACCAAAAATATCTGCCTTGATACCCCTAGAGGTATTTGTCATTTGGGTGAACCTATCCTGTAAAACCTGGGACAAAAATACTAAATTTGTCCATTTGTGTTAATCCACGAGACAATAACTTCAGTGCAAGAGTCTGTTTTTATTATTATTAACCGTTGACACAATCAGCAGAGAAACAAGGCATGACAAAAGACAGAGACACTGGAATCAGATCTTGTTGAAAGCTGCTACGTCAACACTCTGGATCTGAAACAGAGCAAAAAGAAACTTAAATGAGTTTACCAGGGTTAATCTCTAGACACCCTCACACCTGGGAAATTATACAATGATTTCAAACATCTCTTGCAAAACGGTCAAGTTACTGTTTGAATTACAATAGGTGCGCGAGGTTTTAATGTTGTGTGTGTCATGGTGACCTTTTGCAGCGCCGGCGAAAGTCTGAGACAATTTATAACCAGCATGCTTTATTTTAAATCCAGCATGCATCACGTTAAGTCAGTGCTACGCAGCGCCGTGTGAAGTCAAACGCACCTAACCTCTCAGCTGTTTGCTGCCCTCATGTGGTCAGATGAGGCTCAAGGGGCTGACAGTGCCTGAGAGGCAAATTCACTAACATGTACAGTTACCAGTTTATTAGGTACACCTAGCTAAAATGTAATGCAGGCTACAGCCCTGCAATAAATCCTACCTTCATAAAGGTTGTAATCAGTTTTTACTGTAGAGGTGTTTATGGTCATTTTGGAGTGGTGCTGTTGAATTGAGGTGTTTCTAATAGTTTATCCTCATTTATATCAATGTAGTAAAAAGAAAACCCCCTCGGTGTAATGCCATTTAATAGCACCACAAACTACATCATCCTAACTTACCAAAGCTTAATAAACTGCGTCAACAAAAACTGAACATACAACTTTAATGAAGGTGGGATTTACTGCAGGACTGGTATATTAATGCTGCATTAGTTTTAGCTAGGTGAACCAAATAAACTGGGAGCACAATATACTTTACCTGTCAGTATTTTACATTTGGTTATGTGTCTAAAAGGGTAATTACAGTATTTTTAAACCTGGGCCCTATTTTCACATTTTGGGGTCAAAATGACTAGCAGGTACAAAAAGTTTTGTAATCCATGCAGTAGATGGCTTCAGCCGGCAGCCGCAACGTATTCCTTTGGGGCAGTAGCACCTGTTAAAATTACATCCACAAAAGTGCTTCTCTTTTTTGCCATCAACAGACTCAGACTGTTACACGAGGTGTCTGACAACATCATGGAAAGATCCCTACGAGTAAGACCCTTTGTTATAAACAAGTAACAGAAGTCTCGCTCTGAAATCTTGTGAGAGGTGAGTTGTTGCATGAAGACGCCGGTAAGTCAGAGTTGGAGAGGGATGTTTGTTGTGTACATTGAGGGAACTGCTAGCAAGACGTTATATGCTAACATTACTCCAACACCCCTCATGAGATTTAAGAGCAAGAATATATCCTTGAACAAGACTTCTGTTTCTAGGGATCATTTCCATGATGTTGTCAGACACTTCATATAACAGTCAGAGCCTATCGGTGGCAAAAAGAAGCACTTTTTGTGAACATAATTTTGACGGGAGCCCAACTACAGCCGGCTGAAGCCATCTACTGCAAAGATTCCAAAACATTTTGTACCTACTAGTCATTTCGACCCCAAAATGTGAAAATAGTGCATAGGTTTAAAAAAAAGCCTAAGATTGACCAAAACAATATATCAGATTCACACAGAGCCTTTGAGTTTAAGCCTAGTTGACTGTCAACCACTTCTGATTTGGGCAAAATTCTTAAAAATCCACCCAATAAAACAACCACCATGATCACAATGACTGTTGCATGTTTTTTCCTCCCTTTCGTTTATTCATTCAAATTGGTATAAATTACAGCCTACTTCTTCAGTGCTTTAAGATTTTAAGACCTGCAGGTACACTGTTAAATCACACATGCAGCAGCATCATCATCATGATTATTTATTCCAGATATTTAAAACATCAGTTGCTCAACTTTTCTGTGTGTGATTTCTGCAGAAACACTTAGTTAAATGTATTGCACAGTACTTACATAGTCTTCAAACTTGGTGATTTCTTCCTCCAACATGTCTGTTCCCACCTTGTCGTCCTCCACCACACATGCGATCTGGAGCTTCTTGATGCCGTAACCCACAGGAACCAGTTTGGACGTGCCCCATAACAGGCCGTCAGCCTGCACCGAGCGCACACACTCCTCCAGCTTCGCCATGTCAGTTTCATCATCCCACTAAAAAAACAAAATGTAAGGGAGGAGAGGTGATGAAACATACGATGAAAGGGCAGCAGAGTGTCAGTCAATAATAATGCATCGTGCTGTTTATTAATAGTTTTAGGCTCCTGTAGAAACTGAAATTGAGTTTTCAGTAAATTAGGACAGAACACAGACTCACAGGTTTGACATCCAATAAGATTGAAGACTTGGCGATGATGCTGGGCTTCTTGGCCTTCTTCTCCGCGTACTCTTTCAACCTCTGCTCTTTGAGTTGCTCTGCCTCTTCATCTTCATCACTACCAAACAGGTCAATATCATCATCCTCCTCCTCCTCCTCTTTAACCGGAGGACTGGTCTTCTGCTGGACGGCAGTGCCCTGAACACATTAAAAACCATCATCACAGGAGTCTATAGTGATGTACTGGAGCTAAAATAAAACTAAAACACGATAAAAGCAGTCCGTTTACACTCACATTTGTGTAGGGAACTGACGGAGTGGGAGCCGGGGTCACAGACGCAGGAGATTTCTCCAGAACTGCTACCCGACATTCCAGTTTGGAAAGCGCAGCCCTCAAGTCATCCACCACTAAAGAACAAGAGTCAATGAGTCATACATGAAAGGTAGGAGAGTGTTGTGAATAAAAAAAAGGAACAGGTATGAAAATAAATGCTTCAATCATTGTAAATTACAGGTGACAGAAGATGATGCAACAAAGACAACGGCATCGGATTACAGAGGTCGCCGCTGATTGAATGAGTGCCGCTACTGAAATTACACACGATTATTAATGATTTTCAGTACAGTAACACTAAACGCTTGGCGAGCTTCCTCTCCTGATTCTCCAAAGGGCATCTATGTGACAGGTGTTACAAGAGCACTGTAATTTAGGTCTTCTAAGAAATATGGCAGTGCAAAATGTGTGTGTAGCAAGAGTGCTGGTGAGAGAGAGAGCACGGTGAAAGGTATAATCTGCTCTAGCTTTTCCAACTTTTTGTACATATGGTAATAATAATGTTCCAATGTTTGGAAAACAAATATATTTTCATGGGGGAAAACTTTGTTTGCACACATACATGTTGTCTTGGTGCTTTATATCCAGATATATCCTACTAATGAAGCAGGGCGCACTTTGCAGGTGCACAAACAGTGTTTTGCAATAGTTAGTTGGTAATATAAAATTTTGACATCAGTTTGGGCTCAGACAACTTCTGATGACAGTTGTCATTCTGAACATCAATAGGCTGGAAAGTTAATTAACTGTAGAAACAGTTTAGTTGATTAGGGCTCCAAGTAATTATGTACTTTTGAATCAATTGTTTAGTTTACAAAATATCAAAGAATAAAGACAGATGGACATCACAAGTTTCCAAAGCTAGGGGGTCATTTCTTGCTAGTGTCTGAACATCAGTTTAATAAAACCGTTTATAATGAGAGAGAAACTGCAAAGCCTTGTAATATAGAAATCTAGAATAAATATTTGTAATTTGTTTGACAAACAACTATTGTTAAGTAATTCATCAAAGTAATCGTGATGGTGGCTCTAATAGTCTCCACACAGTGCATAAGGATGTTAAAATAGCCATGACGTGGGGGAAAACAACAACAATGTGCATTAATATTTGATCAAAGTTGACAAACAAACCCACCTTTGTATAAGCTCTGGTTCTCCACCTCCAGGCTCTTGATGCGAGAGATGAGTTCTCCTTGATCAGCTGGACTGCTGGTGCTCTGCACAGTAAACATGCAAAGAGAGATAGATTTACACAGTTTACACAGAGCAACATTGAATGGCCGAACCAGAACATTAGTCCTTTTATCAAACCCAGGACTGTTAAGGTAAACACGCAACACACGGCCATTTTCCATTTCAGCAGCAGAAACAAAGAAGCTGTAGCCTGATAGAATATAAGTGATATGCAGCTACTTGAACGGGGTCTGCAACACACCACAAAAATATAACCTAAAAGCGTGAGTTTATTAAAGCCAGGTGCTTCCAGGGACACACAAGGCTTGGCGGCACTTACAAGCTGGGACTGTTGGCTCAGGGGAGGTTGACCTCTGTTACACAATGTAGTCTTCAGCTGGTGGAAGAAGGGAATTTCAAGCATATAAAAGGGAGGGAAGGAGTAACAGAACTGAGTAAATGCTGACTCAGTGCTACTGAGGAGTGTAAAACAGAAAGCAAATAGGGCGAACAAAGAATCACCGTAGAGCTGGGAGGTTATGGAAGATGACAGAATAAAGGCAGCTATGTACACACAGCATTCACACGTCTCTGTAGAGGAAGGTTTGTGTAACTTCAGCTGAGCACCAAGCTTCTTAAAGCTAAAAAGTATGCAAAGCAAATTATTTTAACCTATCAGCAACAACAAAATGATTATCATTAAAAAAAAATAAATAAATAAATGCTCAAATCTGTCAAGGAAGTCATAAGCATGTACAGATTTCATGTTTGATATAATAAAGGAGTTCTGGTTGTAACTATCAGCTACATAAATGCTGTTTTTACTACCAGCTGGTTTCAGGTCACTGACATGTAGCACTAAATGCATTTCATTGGCCTCAAGCCAATAACACACTAGAAAGACTAGTTGGTTTTCACGTTACAAAATCTACAACAACTTACTGCCACTGCAAACCTAAGCAGAACAACAAGTTGAAGAAGGACTTATGTCATCTTAGAGATGTAAAACTTATTGTAAGGCTTTAAGAAGGGGTAATAATCTTCCCAAATGTTCCTATTTTGTGGTAAAAGAATTAAATTCCATATGTAATTAAGGGAACACGTTCCACCATTACACACTTGCTTTTGTTCGTTCAGAAATGATCAGCAAAGCATACTGTGTGAAGGTTGGAGGTTCTTGTCTGTGTTTCATTAGATTTTCAGGCCATACAATAGGGACACAAACGAGCCAAAAAAAATACTTTTATGCAGCATGTACGTTTTATCTTTTCGTAATAGTAATGATTAGGTTATCCCCAATAAATGTTTGAGGCATTTCCAAATGAAGTTGGGAGCTGTCCATAAAGATTGGCAGCAGATTAAACCTTTTCACAGCCAAAATAAAACAGGTACACAGTCTTACAACCATCAACGTGTACAAGAGGTGTGACCCTGGCTCATTTGGGACCATTCGTGCAATAAAGTAAAGCCTATTTCGACATGTTTCCCATTATCCTGGACATATGGATATAAAGCAAGGTCAAGTGAGACCTTGATTGCTCAGGCTACACGTGCAGCACTTGGGTAAAAGTGGATAATATGAGATAAGAGGCAGATATAGCTCACATACAGATACAGCACATAGCATGTACTTACTCCTGCTAGAGATTTCTGGATGTTCTCTCGGGCCCGAGCAATGTCTTGCAGAATGGTGTGAGCTCCAACATCCTTAAGAGCAAATGAATAGAAGTCAATGTCAATTCATCCTTTACTGTAAAGTTTCAGTAAAACTGTAATATCAAAAGAATGTGTCTTTGTCTAACCTCTGCATCTCATCACATGGCTTTTAAACAGTGTGGAAAGGCTACAATGAGATTTAAAATCAACAACTGCAAGTCTGACTTTGTCCAAATCTGGCAAATTCAATAATCAAACTTTTTGTACAAAAAGAACCTCTGAGACAGTGTGTGTACCTGTGTTGGTTGTGAGGATCCATTCACGGTCTCATAGAAGCGTCTCTCTGCCTCATCATAGCGCGGTTTGTCAAACCAGATCTTCTCCTGGGCCAGGAAGTCCACTGAACTCATGATGCTACAGAAGAAAGAGCAAGGAAGGAGAGGGATGTATCAACAGGACACAGGAGGTCAGGGAAAAAGAAAAAAAAAGAATGCGTATTACTAAATAATTGTACTTAAAATCACCTGATTGGTGATCTATATTCACAATTTTTACCACAAAATGTATCATCTAAAAATGGCTTATTGTGTGTATTATTTTATCTACACTCCAGACCTCCCAACACAACTATACAAAATAAAATAAAAAAAATGGAGAAGTTGGCAAAACAGAAAAATGGTTCACACAAACAACTGTCATTCAGAATTTTTTTTTTTTTTTTTTTTTTTAAATACAAGACTAGAAGGAATAAAAAATCAATGAACCAAGACAAATGAAAAAAACAACACGATCAAGGAAAAAGAAAAATGTTGACACATTCAAAAAAACGGAAACGCATGATTACATAAAGAAAACAATGAAAGATAAAACTGAAACATCTGGAGAGGCTCCATTATCCTGGTTTGGTCATACTTGTCCCTCTGCGGGGCGGCGGAGGCAACTGATGCTGCCTCTGGCCTCCGAGCCTTCTTCACCACCTCAGCTTCGCTGCCATTGTAACCATGGAAACGACTCTCTGCAGCATCATACCGCCACTTGTCCAGCCACACCCGCTCACTGTCTGGATGAACAAAGTAGCGGACTCCGGCCCCCGACACGTCTTCCTTCGCTGGGACCTCAGGTGGCTCCTCTTCCTCCTGAATAGGGAGCAGAGCGTGGAAGACTTCTGCTTTGCCCTGCGGGACCACCCGTTTTTCCTCCACCAACACCTCCTCATCTTCCTCCTCCTCCTCCTCTTCTACGAGGCTTTGAGGATGGTCGCTACTTCTGGAAGTGGAGGCACAGCTGGACCGTTTTGAGGAATTGTTACCGTAGAGATTCTGGTAGAACGCCGCTTCTGCGCGGTCATACAGCGGTTTCTCCAGCCACACATCTCTAAGCAGCTCCACAGGGATGCGGGGTAGTCCATTAATTGACTGTCGATTGGTTGGCGTGACAGCTGCTTGTTGGATGACGGGGGTAGCAGGAGTCGGCGCTAAAGACTGATATCCTTCGTCAGGTGTTCTGGGCGTGATGGAGCGGTTAGGCTGGGATGGGAGGTCCAGAGAGTTTGGAATGGACGGCATGGATTCTTCAACAAAGCGGCGTTCTGCTTGGTCAAATGTCGTCTTGTTCACCCACACAGCTTGGACGACATGGTGGCAGGCCACCTGATCGCCATGGTGGCACACCAGTCCCGAGGAAGATGGCCCCACTGTGGATGGAGAGTTTGAGGGTTTTCCTGCGGCTGGAGGTGACCGGTTTGACTGGGTGGTCCCATTGGAGGAGCTCGCCAACCAGCACTGGTAGAGGCTCTCTGCTTGCTCATAGATGCTGCGCTCAAACCACACATTAGCACACTCAGACTGCAGGCCAATCAGCCCAGCACAGGGGTCAGGTGGCTGGCTGGTTCTTTTGTCTGGCTTCTCTTCATTCTTGGTCTTGCTGTCAACCTTCCCCTCAGGGCGACTCTCGGGATTGGAACGTTTTTTGCGGCGCCGGCTTTTCCCGCTACGCTTTCCATCTCCGTTCAAGCTGCCGCTCTCTGGGGACGATGATGCTGTCTCTCCATTTCTTTGACCTGATTCAACCTTGTTCCTACACCCCAGTGCTGCGTTCGCTGACCGGTCCACATGACACTGGCTGGGAGGCTGATCATGCTCCGACTGATCCACTGCAGAGCACTGGGGGGTCTTCTTAGACATCATCTTTTATGCGTTGCAGGGGGGGAAAAAAAGAAAACAACAGGTACAGGCTTTTGGATTAGTTAGGGAGACGCAGGAAGGTTTAGAGACACAAAGGGATTGATCTATTAGACTCGTACTACAAATGTTGGTGTCAAACACCAACATTTGCTTGTTTAAAAGCTGAATGTACAACCACAAAATAGAGTCTACAAATCAGTCCCAAAGAAACGCAAGAAACATGCAAGAAATTCGACGAAACTCATGCAAATGACCTAAAATGTTAGTGAATGGAATCTACTTCTATGTGATTTGTCAAAAGTCACTATCACCAGTATCACTGTATAAGTTCTACCAAAGCTAAGAGAGCATCCAGCTAAGCTCACATGGAATAAACTCAAAAAGATAACGACTGTAAAATGCCAGTTGCCATCTGCCAATATTCTTTTTTCCCCCTTCTTTTCAGAAACACACAACATGAACAAAGATTATCCCTAACAATTGTTATGTGTAGTGATGAGACCTCACCAAGATAACATGACATAATGCAGTTTAAAAATAAACACAGTACTGCTGATTATGTCAGCTGACTGCTGTGTTTTGTGGTGGATTTGTGGCTTTCCAAACTCATGTTGCCAACAGGGGAGCGATAACGCTCATAACATGATTGAAGGATTCGTCTTAAGTCTCTCCGTTAATTTTCTGGCCGATAATATCTGCAAGCTAATCTATTGGTCTGGCTCCAACATGTATGAAAAAAGTAAAGTGCCCTTATAACACAAAGCCAATGTTCTTCTGCGCATCCTGCAAAGGCATTTCAGTGAATGTATGTGTATACTAATGTAGTATCATCTGTTCTGTTTAATTATGTTTTCATAAGATGCATTTACCTCAGCATTTTGACAACCAAGAGCACTTAGTTCCTTTTAATTATTCACAACATTCAGCTACAGTCAAAAGATTAGAAATGAATTTTCAATATACACAAATTAACAAATGTCTAACCACCAATTAGGTTAGAGATATTTTCCCCATAACTGTATTGCAAATAGTTCTTAGTAAAAAAATTTTATTCTTTTCATTTCAAAAATAAAAAAGAGGCACAGCACTTGACAAATCTTGACACAATGACATGAGAGCATGCAAAAGGAGTGTGGGAGTGACAAGTTTAAGGCAAAATATTAAAAGAGGCATTTCAATTAAAAAAACCTTGATGGATCTGTGAAAAGCACAGACATGCTCATACAAGCAAACTAATTAATTCAGTAGGTAATGAGGTTTTGCGCTGTTAACAAATCACATTGCGTAGGCCATGCTGTTTTTACGACATTACAGGAAATGCATTCCCTTTATGTTTCACCATGTTAGTAATATTGATGAACACTAATGCACCACTGAAAGGGATTTGGACACTGTTTTGGGAAGGCATTTCCTGATTCATATTTATTAGAAAATCTTGCTCAAGCTGTTAACTCACCTTCCTTGGTAAACGGTGTTGAGCTTAAACTAGTATAAGAGTTAAATGTCCAACACGTTCTTTTCATCCAGTTAACCGCAAGCCATTGAAAAAGAAGTTTAACAATCACCACCTTGCAAAACAAGGAAACTGATACTAAAGGATATAAATATGGCCAAAAGGAAAAACAAAACTCAAATGGAGGTAAATGTCAATGTTAAAAGGGATACTCACTTGTCAAATTCTGAATGCAAGATGAAGGGAAAGAAGCTAGGTATTAAAGATTTCTCTAAATTAATCTCTCAACATGAAACTGTCATCTACAGATTTCACATGGTTACCCCCTTCAGTCTTGGACGATGAATATGGAAAATACCTGCACCATTAGTGGCAAAAATCAAATGATCTGATATTAAGCAACAACTTGGACGCATCCTAAAGCTTTTTCCCCCTTTTATCTGTTTTTCTCCCCTCTTCAGTTGAAAAAGCTCTGGGGACAGTTTATTTTCCTCTCCATCATCAAAAATGAGTACTTGCTGTTAAAGCAGTCCTATCAAAATCCTTCAATCCAATTAGCCAGTCAAACACAATAGTACTGACGTTACAAATTAAAGAAATGGCAGTCTTGTATGCAGAACATAAGCCATGCTGGCAACTGCACCTGCATTAATGTGCTGGATTGCTCTCCCACATTTGATATTTTGTGGTGCTTTCTTTATGGGAGCTTTCAGGATGTGCCCCTTGTTAATGCAGCTCAATTGGCAGCAAGTGTAAAAATAAAACCCCAACATTTAGGCTATTTAATAAAAAAGGGTAAGGCTGGAGATATTCTATATTTTTCTTATTGTCAACAAATCCCTTGAAAACACCAAATCAACAAAGTGGTAGCTCATCTCTCAATACTTTTCGACTTCTCCACCCCGTTTGTTAACCCTCTAACTCCAAGTTAACTTTCATTTTTAAAATAAGGCTGGGCACTGAATTGTTTAACAAATGTGACTGAAAACAGGAGGAAAAAGCAGACTATTTTAAGCAGCACATTAAGCCACATTTGGTGCTTTCGTGAGTATTTCTGGCAGCAGGAGGTGTATGTGGGATTGACTAAAAATAAACTACAGTTAATCGTAATGAAGGAACAGGTCACCCAGTGCAACGGTGTGACTGATGTGTTATTAATATTTTTTGGACAACAATAGAGCTCTGTTGCACAGATATGTTACATCAGGCTTTAGATACACAAACAATACTTGTTAGTAGGGTAAATTCAGTGTTGGTTTTGGTCTTTAAGTGGGATTTGATGACAATTCACACTTATTTCATTGCGCATGTCATAATTTGGGGAGGTCACCTCAAATAACCTTTGCCAAATATCCACAATCTTGTCTCCTGTTTGCAGTACCTTTGAATACTGCTGGCGGGTGCAATCAAATACAATTTGCTTTACTTATAATGTTTTATCCCTTGACTCCTGTGGGGCAGTTTACACCCCAGGACAGGTGGGGTACAGTGATTTGCTCAAGAACTCTCCAGTAAAGCAGAGGCTTCACTTACCATTGATATATCAGTTTAAAGTCGAAATATAATACCTACAGCCTCTTAACACAGGTCTTAGCCATCCTTAACCCCAAATCTGAAAAGATCAGTTTAGATCCACTGAGCTAACATGTTTAAATGGGGGTTTTACACGTCAACACTTTCACTAAAGGTCATAAATGTGTATTGTCATAAAGAAAAGCCTGTCGTCCAAGATGTTTCACAGTAAAAGAAAGGTAACGTGAGTTCAAAGCCTCCACAGAGCTGTCATCATCAAAAGGTGTGCCCTGCTCCCTTTAACATTAGCCTTCTTCCATCATTTGTAAGTGCGTCCTAGTAAGCATAATGTACCGTCAAGAAACAACGCTGGTAGTTTTAAAATGTGACACTAAAGAATTCGGTTTTCATTTTTGTTGGTTATTTAAAACAGCGGCCATTGAAGCCGGTGTCCGGCCGGCGTGACAGCCGCTCTGTGCAGCGTTAGCACTAGCATGCTGCCCCGGTCAGCTAGCCGTCAGCTAGCCTCGGCTAACACGAGCCGAGTCCGTGCGTGCTGTCTAAAAAAAACAAAAAAACACTCAATATCCATTCATTTCCCGAAATGTTCTTTAAATTAATCCCAACACTAATCCCCGGACTCAAAACCCCGGCTGTCAGTCAGCGTTAACGTTACTTACTGCTGTGGGTTTTTTTGTCTTGTCGGTGAGAAACCAGGCCGGCGGATAAAACGCGTGCTTCTCCAGTCGTGAGTGACAACGGGAAGGAGGAAGAGGAGGAAGAGGAGGAAGCGAGGAGCAGCGCCGATTGTGTGATCTTAGAGGAAGGGGGGAGGGGAGTTATTCATCATTAATGTTGCCTGATGCTAACCTTACGTGTTAAATCTCACGTAGTGACTCGGTAATGTTGGAAAAATGTGATTTGTGACCTCCAAGGTTAATTTCTTACAGTATTTTACACAGGAGATGGGATCTAAATTTAGTTTACACTTTCTGTATGTTTAGCCTTTGTCCTAGAATGACAAGCTTTTAGTGTTTTTTGCATGTTATGCTGTAAAACTAATTTCCCCAGCCCTTAAACCTGGTGATCCAGTGACTAAGGAGTGGCAAAAATACGTCTGGCCCATATTTTCACTTTCTGTTTTAGATATTTTAAAGCATTTAACCATTTTTTTTATTCATCATGGTTTCATAACAATCATACCTGTGTCTTCTCTTTATAGAATGTATAAAATCCAAATTATAACAGATTTAGTAGCTGTTCTGGAGATTTCAATCATGTCACATGATCTTCATCAGCATAAGTCCGTGATGGACAGCAGGGCTTCCTATATCTGATAAGGACCATGACATATCAACAAAAGCTCAAGAACAGCTACTAGATGGACCTTGTGGTGAGATTAGGCAAACTAAAGGTTATTTTCATTACATGCGAACCTGCCAATTATGTTCTGGATAAATCGACTAAACATTTGGTCAAAAATATTGTAAACAAATCAAAAACTGTGAATAACAGTCCAAATCCCCATAATATTCCATTTATAATTATATTAAACAGAGAAAGGTATAAAATCCTCACAGTTGAGAAGCTACAAACAGCAAATGTTAGGCTTCTTGCTTGAGTCAGGACTTAATTATCATCAAAATGTTTGCACATCATCCATCACACAGGTCTGCTGCCATGAAGTGTGAATTTGGTCTTTCAGGATTCCACTGTCCTCTGCATCTATCTATTTTTCTACTTGATCCGTGTGTCTTCATACTGCTTCTGCTCACTGGAGATGCCTGATTTCAAGATGTCAAAAATAACGCAATGCACAAAGGGAGCCGGCTCAAGTGACACTTTATGAAAACCCCAGCCTACACGCTTGGCATCGCAGATCATGAATATTTTTCTTAACATTGTGTTGTACACAAAGCCAGCAAGTAGATGATGAATTACACCTGAAACAACACATTACATGCACATAATGACCCAATCATGGCTGGTAAGGCATTACTCCAAACTTGAAGTTTATAAAAGCTGCCTCTTGGACTGATTGATTGATGGCTAAAGTCCCCCTCTTTATTACTATGATGTCAGTGTCTTTCTGTATTCAAGCTCACAGGTTAATACGGCCTCCAATGAATGTGACTAAAATAGAAGTATTGTGCATCTTATTGTACAACAACATCTGTAACTATGGGAATAATCACATTTGGGTTACACCTTACTTGCATTGCTGCCTAAATCAGAAAATATTGGATTATTGGTGTGCATGTAGTCAGTGTCTCAAATAAATCACAGGGTTATAATCAAATAATTTACTTGTCAGTGTCAATGTCGAGATTAAGCCAATATTTCATTTTTGCTCACGACAAATCGATGTGGTCAAAGACATGAAAAAGAAAAAGTATGAACTGCATTCGATTCGGGGAAACAGGTTTGTCTTGGTGTTCTATGGCAACTGGTTGAGCCAAAAGTTCCATTTGTTGTTAGGCTTCAGTTAAGTTCAATGAGTGGTAATTCAAAAGGCAAAAAGCAGCTGTCATTTCCTGCATCCTGCTGCTGACTTCCGGCCAAGCTCCCTGGCTCTCTCGGTGGCGGATTCCACGGCGCTCATGGTCGACGCCCTCACACCGCCCTGTTCCAGGGTGTGAAGCCCGTAGATGGTTGTTCCACCTGGGGTGCAGACCTCAGAGCGGAGCTGAGCTGGATGCTTTCCAGAGTCTCGTAACAACCGCCCAGCACCCTGCAACAGACGGAACAAAAACTAAATTAATGACGGTGGCTTCAAATATTGTGCTGAGGGGACGCACATAGAAAGTGAAAGGGTAAACAGTTTTTTAGCGACACTAAAATTTCTAATGTTGATACAGTGAAACAGAGTAAAAAACTGACCAGAACAGTTTGAGATGCGATGCTGTGTGCCAGAGCACTTGGCATTCCCATTTTAACAGCTCCTTCTGCCAGAGCTTCAGCAAACAGATACACCTGCAGAGAGGAATCACATGCATCACAATCAAAAAGGCGCACACAGTAACATTTTCTTGCTGTTGCTGATCCATAAAAAGAAAAAGACTTCATATTATTACAAACACAATTTCCTAAGTAGCATAACATAATGTTGTAACTGCTCTTAGAGTTCTAGATATTTGATTGTGCTTTTATGACCTGCCTTTGATTTTCTTTTTAGATTTCACTGACTGGATCTATATTTTTACTGAGGATTTAATGCGGACAATTCGCCACTGCAAAGAGTCTTTCTGTATTGTGTCCCGCGTCTCTACCATGTTTATCAAGACTTTATTCTGTATGTCTCAATAGAACACTGAAATGAAACAGACAAGAAACAGACAGACACAGTCTGCCTTTCATCATTGAGTTTCCAGTCTGCCTTTTTTCCCCTGGAAAACTGCATTATTTTCTGTTGTAATATTTGGGTTAGCAGTAGCTAGTGTGCACTGGACCATCGCCACCTTTCCACAACAATGAATGCATGTCAACAGGTCGTGTGTATGTATTTTAGACCTACGTGAGTGAAAAACTTTCCCCCATGAGGGATAAATAAATTAATAAATGTATTGCAGACTTTTCTTATCAATATGCATTTACAAAGCATTAACAATTAACAATATGTACCCTGACAATATAAGCAGATCCAAGGTTCAATGTCATTATGTAATGTAAGGAACTCTGAAGTTTCTAAAAATTGACTTTCATGGTGAAGTCAAATGAGTTCAAACCAGTTTGAAAACAGACATGTAAAACACCACTGCATATTTTAGGAACAGGTTTATGGAATTACAGGTATTTTCTGTCATTTTTATCATCAGTCGACATTAACTTTGTTATCTTTGTCTTGAGGAAGTCCTACTACACCAGTCCATACAATCTCGAAACACTCACAAAAGCGACTCCGCTCCCGCTCAGTCCAGTGTGGATGTCAATCCAGGCCTCAGGTCCCTCCTCCACTAAACCACAGCGGTGCAACAAGGAGCGAAGCAGAGCTCCGTCCTCCTGTTTGGCATGGGATCCCCGTGCAAACAGGAGAGCCCCTTCCTGAACCAAACATGGGAGATTCGGCATCAGCCTGATGGCAACTGAATTCTCTGGCAGAAGCTTGGAATTGAAAAGAGAAAAGAACAACATTATTCATCTTTAGATCACCACAGAACTACCAGTTAGTTTAAAGTCAGTACACATGTGCTAGGGCACTCACCTCTTCCAGTGTCGCCAGTGTTACTCCAGCTGCAACAGACACAATAATGTGTCGTTCAGTGATGTGTTGTGAGACCTCATTGAGAACTAGTGGAACCAGGTGGGGTTTGACGGCTACAAAAACCACATCTGACCCACAGACTACCTCTGTGTTGGAGTGAGAGACGGGAATACCGAGCTCCTGAAAGCAAATGAAAGGGATGTTACTGACCCAGATGTCTCTTAACAATTGAATTTAAATAACATTTGTGTTAGAGCTGAAAAGATTACTCAATTAATCATTTAGTTGATCGACAGAAAATTAATTGGAAACCGTTTTAATAACAGATTAATCATCATTGTCAAGAGAAAACACTAAACATTCTCTGGTTCCAGCTTCACTATTGTGAGGATTTGCTCTGTTCTAATCTAATATCTTTGGATTTTGGACTATTAGTTGAATAAAACAAGCTATTTGTATACACCACCTTGGCATGACAGAAATAATAACCTGCATTTTTCAGTTTTCTGGCATTTCATAGACAATATAATTAAACAAGGAAATAAATTGCAGATTAATCAATGCTGAAAATAATCATTATTTGCAGACCTAATTTGTATTAACTCTAAAGAGTTTTATTTTTGGACTCAAAAAAATCTGAATATTCGATGTTATGTTAACTTTAACATCCCTTAAATTTATTGGATAGATTGAACAGATTGTTCAACATTGTGATCTAATAACTCATGTACACAAGTTTCTAATTTGAGAAAATCTATTGTCAATTCCTACACAGAAGTTACTCATTTGTACCCTGTAATATACTATCTTATGTGCACACATCAATGGTCAAATGTGAAATAATTTCCTCCAGCTGAACTCAAGACAAAACAGAGATCCTAGTCATTGGGTCCCAGCAAATGGCAAAGCAAATACTGCCATCTGCTGGTTTCCTGGTGAATCATATCAGGCCTGTTTCAAAGGATCTCGGTGTCTGGTTCAACAGTAATTTCAAGATTCGAGCAGCACACTACAAAGCTTTTGCAATCATGTTTTTACCAGCTGAGAAACATATCAAAAATATGATCAATGTTAACTTTTAAGGACACTGAGACCATTTTACACACCTTTATATCATCACGCCTGCATTACTGCAACAGCCTTTTTACTTGCTTGACCCAAAAAATCTATTGATCGATTCAAGACTGTCCAGAAATCAGCTGCCAGGCTTTTGACCAGAACAAAGAAATATGATCACATCCCCCTTGTTATAGCTTCATTAAACTGTCTCCCAGTATATTTTAGAATAGACATTAAAATTTTACTGGTTACTTTTAAAGCTCTTCATGGCCTCTCGCCCTGTTATATCTCTGACCTTTTAGTCACATATGCACCAGCATGTATCTTGAGATCCTCAGGACCTTTTGACTGTTCCTGAGTCTAGACTGAAATCTGAAGGGGACAGAGCGTTTGCAGTCAGGGGCCCAACACTCTGGATCAGCCTCACCAAGGAAATCAGGGCGGCTGAGTCAGTGAACTCTTTAAAGTCTCTTCTTAAAACAAACTGTATTTCAATTTCATATCTTTCTTCCTGCTTTTACAGTGTATCTTTTTCTTTGCTCTTGTGAAAGCACTTTGTAACACTGTTTTGAAAATGCTCTATAAATAAAGATTATTATTATTACCTTCTTGTCTTGTTGATTGTCTTAATCTATATTTATATGGCAATACAGATTATGTGAGCTTCTGGCCGCCTGCATTTCCTCCTACAATCCAACTCACCCTGCTGAGAGCTGACAGAAAAGTAAAGAAGGAATTAAGCACCTGAAAGCGTCCCAGGTTCCTGGAGGATGGTGCGCTGACTTTGACGTTTAGAGGAAGAACATTTCCTTCAATGCGAACACAAAAGAGACGGTTAACTCCTTTATTTAAATCCTCTCTGCTCTGTTTCCACAACTCTCTCCAGACTCACCAGACAACATGCCCTTTACGATGCCAAATGCCATGTTCCCTGCACCAATGAAACCAATCTTCAGCTGTGAGTCCATCTCAGGGTCCATTTTGATCTAAAGGAAAGTAGAGAACAGATTTGAGTGGAAACATCAACCCGCTAATAATAGTTCAACAATCACCTAAAAACTAGGGGTGTGAATCACAGGACCACCTACAACACAATACCATCACGTTTCCCACAGTTACAATGGTTACACACATCACATGTCATATACAATAATACTGTAAGACAATTAAGCAACAACAGAAATATCAACTATTTGATAATCAAGAAATTTAGTTATTTATCAAGGAAAAAAAAAAGAAAATCACTGGTTCCACCTTCTCAAATAATGACGCCGCGATGCTCTTTGTCATATCTGATAGTAAACTGAATATATTTGGTCAAATAAAACAAGCCATTTGATTAAATCGCCTTGGCAAGACAAATATTCAGATTCAGATTTTTCATGATTTAAATTATAATAAAAACTATGGTTAGTTGCAGCCTTAGAGATAATCACCTGTGATAAAAATATATTAACTGAAAGCATTGCCCTAAATGGTAAAAAAAAGTTATCAGGAACCAGTTATATGTATTGGAGGGGCTTTCAGTTTTGAATTTTAAAAGGACCACTTAGACAAATATATTACAGTGAGCACAGTCTTAGCTTTTTTTAAAGTAAAGCAGCAACATGAACAAATACTGTATGTGCCACTGTTCAAAGTAAAAAAGCTGAGCTGCCATGAAGAATATCTTAATGCCTAAAATCTGGAGACACACTGCTCTCATTGTAACCTTTGATGTGTACAAATCAAGTTTAGTAGAAAAATTTAAAGCAGCAGTTTACTATCGCCAATCCATTAGCCATATGCTTACAACACTACAGTAGATATGCCTATACTTAAAGAATTGTACTACTGTGCTTTATAACGTCCAGTAAAATACGTAGTTGTTTGGACTGATATTGATCATATATGGTAAGAGCGGTGCCAATGCATCAACACCATATAGTGACAGAGAGAAGCACTGCGACTGATTACTATAACAAATCACGTTAAGGCAAGAAATCAGATAACATGTAAAATCCTGTTTGACGGTCTGTAATCAGATTTCTCCCCTCCCCGCATAACTGCTGCCACAGCCAAGTTTCCCTGTCCTGGGTCTTTTTGACATGCATCCTTTGAATCAAGAAAGCTGTTTTTTGCAGCAAAGAAACCAGTAAGTTTGACGGTAAATTCAATTTCTCCCATGATGTTGTTTCTGAAAGCAGGTTACTGCTAATTCTTGAAATGCATCCACAGTATACAAAGAGAACTCAGTCAACTGACCGATATTTGCTGGTTCCAGCTTCTCAGACGTGAGGACTTGCTGCTTTTCTCGGTTTTATGGGTGTAAAATGAATGTCTTTGGGTTTTCGACTGCTGATTGGCCAAGCAAGTAATGACGATGCTACTTCGGGCTCTAAGAACAGGCATTTTTTTACCCTTCTTCCACATTTTATAGTCTTAAAGAAAAATATTGACAAATGAAACGATAGCAGGAAAAATGCCACAGACCAATAGATATGGCAAGAAAACAGACTTAGGTTGTTGTATGGCCATATGTTGCTGAAACAATTATTTTCCACAACCCATGTTAAGTCCAATTACACTCAGTTACCGGTTTAATAGGTCCAAGGTGAAACTAATGCAGTTTTATAAAACAGCCCTGCAATAAATCCTAGTTATTGTTGAAATGCTATTGACTCAACTTTATGATCATTTTGGAGGCTGTAATTTCTTTTGATAATTTCAAAATATTATATGCAAGCATTATGAATGGCACTTGAATGTAACTGGATTTCTTTAATGTAGAACCAATGAACATTATATTACGTAAATTATGTGTTGTGCATTTCAATAAATACATTTCCTGTTTCAGTAAAAGGAATAAACAAAATTAGATTGCGTTATGCAGTGTTGTGGAAGTATTTCTAATATTTAGTGATGGGAGATGTTAAAATCAATGCATACTATAATTCCAACATCACTCCAACTGGACCATAAAGTTGAATCAACACCTTTTTAAAACAGTTTTTAACTTAATTATACTGTCATGAAGGCAGGATTTAACGCACAGCTGTTGTATTTGTCTGCATTAATTATAGCTACAGGTGTGTCCAGTAAATGAGTCTATATCAAAACATCCCAGAAACGTATTCGCAGTGAGCACACAGTTGTGTAATGAATGCATGCATCTAGACAACACATGAAATAAACGAAATCACAGTAATTACGATCTAATGACAGACTCATCAGACCCCTACAATTAAATCCAGGTTCTGAGAGGAATTGTCCGGGCAGGGCTGCGGCCAGTGCAGCATTGATGCATCTCCATCCGAGTCTTCTGTCACTTCATCATTCCTGTCAGAGTTGACTCCAGCTCCGACCAAGGGGTGTCTGGACTCCATGATAGCTATCATCGTCTTTTCATATCGCCACCAACCCTGTATTTTGGTCGGGGCCGGAGATTCGGGCTCTCTCTTGCACTTGTAGTACGCACTTTTTAGAAGTTTCCAGCGAAACTTTAATTGGTCCACAGATCTGTGATAGCCAGCCGCTATCATTCTCCTGTGTGCCACCTTAAAGAGTTTATTATTCCTCACTTTCCTACCGTCTAAGCATTTCTTCATGTCCAGCTCCTTGAGGATTTCCAGAAATAACTCCGTTTCCTTCACGTCCCAGTTCTGCTTCTTGATACCAGAGTCGTCCATTGTTGTGGCAACGTAGCCTCGTTAGCTCGGCGGCTAGTCAGCGTTAGCCCAACGGTACAATGTCCACACGGCTAGGTTGCTAATTAGGTGCTAGCATGTCTGGTGCGGCAGGGACAGAGCGGTGCTGTTGATAGCTTAAACCATAAAATGTTAAAATCCTGTCTGTAAAAACCCACGATAGCAGAAACCTAGCCCTGCTGTTGCATCTAGCTAGAGAGAGCTACAATATAATCCAGGACAGATTAGATTAGAAATATAATGCACGTGTTTCTTGTTGACTGGACAACCATAAAATAACACGGAGTGGAATAAACGTCAGGCGATGCTGTGAACAACACCGGCTAACGCTTGGTGGTAGACTGTTTATTCACCTGATGTTTTTCAGATTTGCTGATGTCCAACGTTTAGTAAAGGTCAAACTGCAGTTTCATTTAAACTGTGCTGTCAGGTCGCATCTGTCGGATACACCCGGAACATCCACCAAACCCAACCAGTTGAGTTTTGGTTCCACTGAACTATCGGTGGGTTTGTTTTTTACTTCTTTGCTGCTGTACCAGGCGGGCGGCGCCTTCACAATCCTTAGCCAGCCATTCCACACACGATTCCACACAGTAGCTTTCCGTTTCAGCCGTGATATAAATCCAACACACCCGATGCCCCCCCACCCCCAATACAAAAAATGCGAGTAACTCAATTGGCTGCGTCCTATTCGTATAGGGCGGAGAGGTGGTGGGTAAAAATTTAGCTGTTATTCCAATCAGCTGTGTGAGGGACCCCGTGCTGAGGACTTTACTGCACAATTAAGCAGAAGGTACACGATTTAAACAATTTAAATGTTTTTATTTACTCCGGCGTGGATTGAATGACAAGGTAATTAATTTTCCTAGCAGAAATTGCTGTAAGATGTTGGCAGTGATTTGACTATGGTGATTTTTAAATGGGTTTCATTGTTTCCCCTTTTCTTTTGCACACTGAGGGCCACTTCTGTACATTTTGCTCCCCGGTGTTTAAAACAGACAAGAAAATAGATAGGTAGGTAGATTTGAATAAGTTGTTTACCTTTTAAAAAAAACACATTTTGTTGCATGTTTTCCTCGTTATTACAGTAAAAAGACATTGTATTTTAATAGTTTGTTAACGATGCTTTAGGTCTGCAGTAGGAGCCCTTGTGCAGCAGAGCAGACATGCCTGGGCAAGCCTCGGTCCGGTCTTCATTCTAAAATGAGTGAATGAATATTTTTATTATTGTATCTTATGTCCATAACGCATGGTTTTACAATACAACATAAATCCATATAGCTAGATCCAGAATACTGCACAATATGCATTATCAATCAATCATTCAAACGTATTGGTTCGGTTGTTGTCGCCACCTAGCGACATCCATACCTGGACATATTAAGGATATTAAGCCTTCTCCTGCAAGTAGATATGATATGATAGAGAAGATCATATTTAGGCTCTACTTAAAAAAATAAAAAATAAAATAAAAATATAATAAACTGTAGCCCAAATACTGGATAAATTAAGCTACAAAAAAGGTCCCACTTGTATGGTACTTAATCTCTGTAATTTCTCATACCAGTGATATAAGAAGCAACAAATATTTGGTTAAAATACTGTTAATAGCAAATGAATCACAACTTATAAAAAATGGGGGAAAATACACAAAATGACCCCATCTAAAAGTTGTCTGTGCATCTGTGCACAGGACTACATGAATGATGGGAAAATATTTAAATGTAACTGTATTTTTCTAATTTGCTGTTACCAGTATAGTTTCAAGTGACAGATCTCCCCCACCTCATTTTGCATTCTTACTATTCCAGACATGGGGCGTCTCCTGATCCACCACCTGTATTTCCTGCTGATCAGCTTGCTGGCATGTCATTGTCCTACAGTCAGCGGGCTGTTTGAGTGGCTGAGGCAGACAGAGGCACCTCCAGCAGCAGCACCTCCTCCACCATCAGTAGTCCCAGCACTTCTTGCAAAGGATGCTCAGTTTGAGATGGCTACTGCTGATGAGAAGTTTTTGGCTGAGGCAAAGCAAATGGACATCAGCCAGCTAGACGGCTGTCATTATGGGGTAAAATTTAGCCTCTTGGTCTTGAAATACAGGGTTTGAGAAGGCACTGCTGCAAAACCTTTGTCGCCTTGGGAATATTTAATAAAAACAACTTTGTTTGCCATAGTAGGGTCACAGTAGCATTACTACACACCCACTGGTTGTCTTCAACATAAAAATAAAAGCACTGTGCTCTGTAGGTGGTTGCCCGGCTGAAGGCGAGCTGTGAAAGCCTCTCAGAGGAGCAGCTAGCGAAGCTTGGAGTTGCACTGTTTAACTGCCAGGCAGAGAGTGAGGGGCGCCAGACCTACCCATGTACAATGGAAATGGTAAAATATAACGTTGGGATAAAAGAAGATTGCCCCCCCCCCAAATATATTTTTTATAATCTCATTTTAATGTTTCAGACTATAAAAGAGTGTACAGCTGACATGGATTCAGACACATGGAATGCTTACCACATAGTGAGCAACAGAGCGCGCTCTGTTTGCTACTCTACTCGCCAACAGCTCTTCCGGCGCAGAGCAGAGCACACTGTCAATGCTCTCATCTCCACAGCCACAAGCCAACTAGATGCCATGAAGGACCTTAAGGTAGATTTTCCTTTTCATCTGTACGTGTCGAGTATGCAGTAACTGATCAGATTCTGCGTAGGTTGATTTTTGTTGTGATGGCTGTGTTTTATAACAGGAGGGCCAGCTAGAGCTGAAGGAACTGACTGCAGCCTCCTTGGACAAGCTGTTTGAAGGTCACAGTGCACTGCAGGCCCAACAGGGGAAACTTTACGAGGGCCAGGAGCAATTAGAGGGTTCACTGAGAGACAACCTGGAGCGTCTGAGCCAGGAGAAGGCCCTCATCGCCTCTGGACAGGAACTGGTAGCCCAGCTCATTCAGGGAATTACAAAGAGAATGGGTGAGAGCTTTCATATGTTTCACACTGGAAATTATTTGCACAGTATTGGAGTTATTGTTTATAGTGTAGTTTTGACAAGTCCAGTACTGATTCAATTGTGCTAACAAAATGTGCAGCTGCATTTGTGCTTTGCATGGCTATGGTCACATTCTTAGAATCTGAAAGCGCACAACATAATAAAGTATATCTTCTTCTTCTTACTTAAAAAATAAAGTTTGTTTATAATTTTATCTGCATCAAAATAAACTACATTTACTCAGTTAGCTGATAACTTACATTTGCTATATATGTCAGAGGTCGCCAGCCTCTGGAGCAACTAGGGGTTAAGTATTAAGGGGTCAAGTATTTTCTTTCAGATACACTAGTCCGTGAGACCTTAGCACATGTTCCAAAATTCCTTATGTACTATGTTTAAATTAGCTTAATAAGCACCAAAAGCATTATCTCAATATTGCTAATTGCAGATAAATAAAACATTTTTTTTTTTCATAAGAAATTAGGAACGTTTCTTGAATTAATTAGGCTACTCTTTTGGACATCCCCATGCCATTTAAACTGCAACTCCTATGGGACTATGTCTTCAGTGGTAGCTACTAGCAACATAATGTTGAAACCCTATCCAGCTCTTTAGTTCATCACAAGCCATTTGACAAAGATGAAGCAACTCAGTGCTAATGTTTAATCACCGCTTTGATTCTCTTCTAAAAACTGTTTTATTATTCCAGCCGCTATTCAGTAGGATGATTTGATATCTCCCAAATGACTGAACATCTTGTTAAGAGCATGTGCGAAAAGGGAATTGATTCATTAATTCTTAAAATAAAATGTGTTTAAAAGGGGCCTTTAAATGACAGTTGTTATGCTGAATGAGTTTTGAAAGATTTATTCTACCCCATCAGAATACAATATTGAGCTTTAATTCTGATTTGTTACTGGACAAAACCTCTCCCTGCAAACACAGCCAATGTCATTTGGTCTAGCATAAAATAATATGCTAATATCACCTGCTGCCTGCCTGCCTTTCCTCTTTTTTTTTAATTTAATTTTTTTAATTTATTTTTTAGAGAATGTCAGCGAGCATCTTCAGATCCAAGGCTCAGAGGTGCAGGACAGCCACAATCTGATTGTTAAAGACCTTGCAGACGTCAGACACCAAGCTCAGGACATCTACCAAAAAATTGGTAATCACAACAGGGCATCAAACCTAAATTCATCACCCTATTTTTAAAACTTGTGGTTCAAATTGGTGCTGTCTTGTATCTTTCCCCTGTGGCTGATCAGACCACAGTATGTCGGAGTTTCTGCAGTACCAGGACCAGACCTCACAGTACTACACTGACCTGATGAACAAACTGGAGCGCATGAATAGCACACTGGGATTCATGCTGCACTACCTCGATAACATGCAGAGCCGGATTGAGGAAAGGCTCCACATGATCCAGGGCTACCTTGGCTGGGCAGGTGAGATATTAGACCCACACTGCAGTGGCCGAGTTTTTCCACCTCATCTTTTCTGCTACAAAAACAACAACAACAACAACAAAAAAAATTACTTTTTTGGTCTGACATCTTTAAAAAACAATGATTAAATAAATGTTGGACAAAACAAGTAATTTGAATAAGTCACCTTAAGCTCTGGGAAATTATGATTGGCATTTCTTTCATTAGCTTTGACATTTCACGGGCTTAATAATTTATGGATCAAAGGATATAATCAGCAGACTAACTGATGGGAAAAAAAATCATTGGTTGCAGTCTCAGTGGAAACTCATGATTTTAGGACGATGGATTCAGTTTTCATGAGTTTCCTCTTTAGAAGCTCAGACATTCGAAGGGAGCTTGGAGTAGAGCTGCTGCTGCTTCTTCGCATCACAAGGAGTCATTTCAGGCATCTAATCAAGATGCCTCCTGGGTGCCTTTTTTGTTGTAGGAGACCCCGGGGTAGACCCAGAACACGCTTGAGAGATTATATACATAACTCTTCTGGCTTGGGGACACCTCGGGATCCCATTTGGAGGAGCTGGAAAACTGGCTGGGGAAAGGACTGTATGGACCAGCATGCTTAGCCTGCTGCCACCACAAAATGGCCTTCGATTAAGCGGGAAAAAATTGATGGATGTGTTTTGGTGTTTTTTTTTTACCTTTAGTAAAATGGCCAACAGTAGATAATTGACTACTCTGGTGCTAAAAGCATCTTTAGCACTAAAGGAAAAACTTTTTGTTAAAATTATTTCAATCGAGGCTGTTGGTTGCACATAAACAGCCCAGAACTTAAATTGTTGCGGACCCCAAAGTCCGCTACTAAAGCGGGATGAGATGTCCTAAAACCACTTAAATGTGGCTGTAGATTTTCTTTCCTTTCCATGGATTAATAGATTTCCCTTGTGCTTCTTGTAATTACAGGTTTGAGCCTGACAGCCATGTGGACGTGTGTTGCACATACAGGCTACTTCGTACTATGTGCAGTCCTGCTAACGTTCCTGCGTTGCCCAGGTTTCTCTAGAGCCATGCTGCTGCTCACTGTGCCTCTTAATGCAGTGGCTGAAGTCAACCAGCAGCCGGCACTGGATCTCTCTGGCCTCACCCTGCTGCTGCTCGCTGTCTCTCTGGGTACTAATTTAAAGCAGCTTACAAGGTAAATACAGTGTTGAATAGTAATGTGTTTGTGATGGTTTTTTTTGTTTGTTTTTTTTTCATATCTGCAGGTCACTGGCTTGTGAATCAGTTGTGGGCGTGCTTCCGGACCAGAGGAAAGCCTGCTGCCCCGCTGCCGATGGCCCCATGTGACATTGTGGAGCCACAGAAACAGACATTTTCATCCTGCCACTCATACCCACCGTCCTCTACACCGCAGAAGTGAGTTTGCAGAGTTCATTATATATTGTCTATGCCAGTGGTTATCAAAATGGACCCTCAGGAATCCTTGAGGGGGTTCTACGGGGTCCTCAACAAAAAGGGGAATAATTATATTCATTATAATTCCATCCCTAAGTAACACAAGTTTGACTACTTGGGTCATGAGTTTCATCAGTGTTGGGCAAGTTACTTCCCAAATGTAATACATTATTGACAACTAGTTACTGTCATTTGAGAGTAATCAGTTATATTACAATATTATTGTCTCTGAATTGTAATGCTTTACACTACTTTTGCGTTACTTTCACTGCTATTTAATGGGCGCTTTTATTCTGATAGTAAGATGTTCCTGCATAGCTGTGTGCGCTTCTACGCATTAAGTACAGCAGCAAAACGTCATTGATTTGAATCTCCCGACACTCCGACAGGATCGGTCATGAGCTGATAGCTCAAACATGAAAGTAATTCATTAACGCACAAACACATAGCCTAAAGAAATCTATTTACACTTGTGAGCCATCAGGGGAGCTACAGTCTTGTTAAGAGGAGCCGAGCTCCTCCGTAGTTTGCACCCTAAAATGCGTTGTAACGGGTACAATATTAGTGCGGGGGTGTGTGTGTGTTTTTATATAATGCGTTATATTACTGCTTTATGTAAATGCTCCGTACTTGTATAGCGCCTTTCTAGTCTTTTCGACCACTCAAAGCGCTTTTACACTACATCTGCATTCACCATTCACTCACATTCATTCACTGAGCCTAAGTGCTCAAACAGAAACTAACATTGATACACTGGCGGAACAGCCGCCAGGGGCAATCGGGGTTCAGTATCTTGCCCAAAGACACTTCGACATGCAAAACAGCAAAAAGTAATACATTATTGTAAATACATTACTGGACTTCTGTAACGCACTACTCCCAACACTGTTTATACACCTTCTGTAACAAAACCCATCTAAAATCAAAAAACTAATCAGATGGGGGAGTCAGTGGTTTAATTTGTTTCGGCGTCCTTGATGCAGACCAGGGTGACAGCTACTGATTGTTTTAATTATCGATTTAAACAAAGTTATTTTTTTCAATTGTCTTCTTGTCTTTAAAAAAAAATCCCTGTATATAATTTCCCAGAACCCACGGTGACATCTTCAAAATGTCTTGTCAACATTTTGATGCAGATCCTAGATTTAAACAGTTACAATCATTAAAACATTTCAGCAATTGTGCAGCTATGCGGGAGATATAAGTGCTCTGATTTCTTTGTAGTTGGTTTATTTGATGTCGTCTGTCTTACTAAAAATTTTTGTCATCAGAAATGAAATCGACGGCCTGATTGAGCAAGACGACCTGTTGAATCAGGACAGCTTCATATCAGGTTTGAAATTCTGTCCCTTAACAGTAAAATACTTTACAGATATTCCCCTTGAGAGAAAAGTGATACGTCACTATATTCATGTACCCTTGTATCTTCTCTCACCTATGTCTTTGTGTACAGGTGACTTTGGCATATCAGCAGTCTCTCCCCCTCACAGGAATCCAATGCCAGAGTCCAGGTTTATGCCGAGTATTGGCACACCCAATCACTCCACTCCCAGGCTTGTATCACAGCTAGCGGTGAGCAAACATGTCAGATAAAAGGATAACGAAAGATTTTTTTTCAGTATCTCAAGTTATTTATAGGCGCCATGACACATTTTGTGGTTTTATTTTTTAGGCTCTGGTTGATATCCCCCCAAGGAACCTGGGAGGTGCTTTTGATGTTGTGAACGACTCACGTGATTTAGTGAATGACTCACGAAGTGCGAGTCCTACCCCATCTCTAATCAGCAACAGGTCAGGGTTTTAGACTTTGTGACCACACATGGTGCCCAAAACGTGTGAACTCATTTCTGTTAAAACATTTTAATCGGTCATTGATCATTATACCCCTTTCTGTCCTGTGGCAGCTCTCTATCGGGCCGTCAGCTGTGCAATGGCATCACAAAAACGGGGAAAGCCTGTAAGAAGAGAGCCGTGCCAGGACAGGAGTACTGCAGAGTCCATGAAGGGGGACACTCCTCCTATGTTCACTCCTAAAATGCTTGACTTCCCCTCTTAATATTTTCTTTGATAAGGCCTTCTCTGCAAAAAAAACTTATTGTGTGTCATTGTAAGTTCTGCCTGCTTTGCTTAAAGATTTAGTTAGCTAAATAAGCACTACACTTGCAAAGTTTTTAAATATCCTTTTTCTATTTTATTGCTGTTTTTAACTTCATTTTTATAATAAATTATTTCTTGACCTATGAATCTGTCTGTATGTTTTCAAACAAAGCAACAGTAGCAGTCCAGAAAGCTGAATTCAGTCACTACGTTGTTTTGTATATTATCTGTGAGAGATGAAAACCTACAAAATCTTATGGTGCTGGTGACATAGCCCTTAAATACCCAGGCAAAAGACTTGACATTATGTTAAAGCATTTTATTTAAGTGCCAATATACTGAGTAAAAAAAAACTCCATCCAGTTAAACAGAAGAATGTACTGTTTATTAAATAAAGTGAATCAAGGACACGTGATTCTAACCTTATAAATTCCAAAACCTTCAAGAATGAAGGTAACTCAGTAATGAAAACTGCTGAAAAAGATTTATACTAGGGCCAGTTACTAAAATCTGTAAATTGTACCAGCACCTGGAATCCAAGATTGAAGCAGTTACAGCAACAATTCAATTAACACTACCGTAGTGAACAAAATTCTACATACAGGTAGTAGAATAGAAAGTATACAATAACAATATAGTTTATTAAACCTCAAGAGAAACAAGTGTGCAACAACATAATGCTATTGTGTTGCAGACTTGAATTGAAAGTAAGGTTCAGACCAGCTCAATGACTGCACAGACGCACTTCATTCACTAACATTCATCTACTTGTGCAGATGAATCACCTTGTTTTCGTCCAGCCTTCTCCTCTCTACCATCACCACCACCTTCTCTTCCAACAGACAGGGCCATGGACCAACTTCTTCGGCAGAGGTTTCACTTCCGGGCTGAGTCATAATTTGCAACAAACCAATCACAGGTTTCCTTTAAAGCTGTACATGAGAGCAAAAATAATAATAATCAGGCAACAGATATATAATCAAAACATAACACCAGCATTTTACATTTCAGACCCACCTTGTTTGAAGGGTGTGAAGGTGAAGTCCGGCAGGTAGCGGTGCAACTTTGCATTACTGGCTGTCTTTTTGAACTGGCCGTCTGCTTTACTGGTATCAAACTAGAGGTCAAAGGTCAAGGAGACTACATGGAATTTATGACTTATCTAGAAGAAAGAAGACATACTTTATTAATCCCACAAGGACAAATTCTATGTTCTCACTCTGTTGTTATTATTAGTATACACACGCATGCAACAACACCCGGAGAGATGTCAGAGTGACGCGGCTGCCACTCCTGCCCTGAGCAGTCAGGGGTTCGGGGGCTTGCTCAAGGCCACCTTCGGCAGTGCTGGCACGTCCACGCTTCACAACCGGTTCCAAGCCGGACTCGTACCCTCCGGTTCCCAGCCTAATACTTACGGACTGAGCTACTGCCGCCAGACAGCCAGGTCATTACAGTATTTTATGAAAATAACTTTATAGAGAACTTGCTGCAGCTGGCTAGGATAGGCATCACTTAAGAATTTTCAGCTTTCATTTATTTAATATAGTATTTCAGAATAATTAACATTTCTTACCCAAATACCCATGATAATTGCCTAGGGGATGACCTTTGTGAGGTGCTATTTGTAAAATGAGCAATTGGACACTGATCCACAATAATGTTAAATATATGTAATTTGTAGTGACAGCATGAGCTTTTATACTGGTGCCACCAAACTTGCCTGAAGCCTGATCCAAGAATACTGTTCACTTAGTTATCCAATTAACCTTGCCGAGTAAGATCTGGAACCCGGACTATAGAAAATGGCCTTTTCCGAGTTCAACACATATAAAAATTGGCTGTGATGACATCAATTAACTCAATTAAAAGGATACAACAACTTCTCCTTTGAAGTCCAATGCTTCCACAACTGCTTCCGCTGCTTCTTTGATGGACACTTCATCTTCCTCTCCAACTGAAACCAGCGGACACAACAACAGCATTACTATAAATTTAATTCAACTTTCACTATTGGTATGTTGTGTATGAGGACTCACCGGAGAGAATGACTGGATCGACCTCTGGATACTCTCTCAAGACCCACAGGAAGAGACGAGCCAGGTCCAAAGAGTAAATGAACTGTCTTCTGGGAGTGCCAGAGCCCCAGACCACAAGGGGCTTCCCCTCCTCTAATCATACACACAAATGAGTTCATGAGTTCATGATTTATCTGGCGCCATGTATCCCCACTATACCCTACTATCCCAATACATGGGATTGTTCCTAATCCTACATAATCAATCCTGTTAGGCACAGTCATTTAATACATGTTAATACAACTTAATAAACAAAAACAAAATTAAAATTTGCAGGCACTTAAAAAAGAAAGTTTGAAAGACTCTACTTATAGTTAAATAGTGATGTGTATTTCTTGTTTTATTAGTGACACAAAACAGTGAGTGAGACATGTGCATCCCTACCAGCTTGTGTAAGAGAATGTGACTTACTTTGAGCAATGTATGCTTTGTGTATAAGGCCTGGCAGCACATGACCGTCCTCAATGCTGAAGTTGTCATGGGGGCCAAACACATTAGTGGGAATCACGGCCGTATTGCAACGCCCATGCTGCTGAAAATACGCCCTGTGAAACATACACACAGTTTTACAGCCAACTCTTTTTCATGCAATAGTGTGAATTTATTAAACATGTTACAATACAACACAAACAACTGATTTCCCACCTGTTATGAACATCAATCATTCTCTTTGCATATGCATAGCCAAAGTTCGACTCATGAGGTGGACCGTTGTGGATCTTGTGCAAAGAATTAAAGTAACAGTTAGTCGCCTTTTACAAAATTGACTAATACATCCAGCTAACAGCACACACACACAGGGAGGGGCCTTTTACCATGGTCTCATCGATAGGGTAGGTGGTCTTGTCAGGAAAAATGCAGGTGGATAGGCAGGAAACAACCTTGACTGTGCCAACTTCATGTGCTGCCTGCAGCACGTTATCATTGATGTAGATATTGTTTCTCTGCAGGGAACAGACACATCAGCAGCAACAAAAAATAATTGTTAAAAAAGGACAAAGATAACATTTTATTACCCAATAAATACTACTTTCAACATGTCTAACATTTGTGCTAGTTTATTAACAATACCCAAAAGTCCAGGTTGTACTTCATGTTTTTGAAAAGCCCCCCAACCATAGCAGCCAGGTGAATGACGTGAGTTGGCCGATGTTTTTCAAACACTGCTCGTGTCTCCTCCATGTTCCTGAAGAGAAACCACGATAACACAAAGTGAGAAAGGAGCAGAGACGACCTCCCAATTGTGTGTGTCAGTACCAAAACATCTGTTTACATATTAGTAGTAACTAGAAGAGGTATGTCCTCACATGAGGTTGGCATCTTTTGAGGAGAGGAATATCCATTCTTCCCCCTCCTTGGCTCCACCTTCCTCTTTGACCACATGCTGTATGGCCCTGCCCACCAAGCCGGACCCTCCTGTCACCAACACCCTCAATGGAAGGGTGTGATCGCACTGGCAGTTCATCTACAAAACGTAAGACACAAAAATACTCAATGTGGCATAAGCACAATACAAACAAAACAAGATAGGATCGATTACATATGGTAACGAGGATATATTTCATTACACAAAGGAGAAGCTAATATGGCAATGATGGCTCCCTGACAGCGTCTACAGGTGTTGCAGCTCTACTCAACTGTTCAGCTGCTTTTCTCAGGAAAATGCCACGTCATTCTTATTCTTTACAAGCTTACAAGACATTTTATAACCGAGCAAAACAAGGATGGTTTTTAACAGAAAACTAATATATCATACAAAACTCCACATCTAACTTATAGCTAACTTACTTAGCTTACCTCTATTTTCGGTTGACTACTTGTTTGTTGTTACGTGCTTGTCATTAGAGGTGACCAGTCTGTCTAAAACTGCGTTGTGACCATATATTATGAGGTTGTAATATAAAAAGCCAGACAGACAAGCTAACGTTGACGTTATTACTACCCAAAGTTGCTGTTAGCTAGCAATAGCAACATTTATTCCTTTCGGCGTGTGTTATATATTAATGTGACTAAGTTAGATAAACTAAACCTGAATGTGGCAGCTAGCTGTGTCGTGGGTAAGTTAGATAACAGTTTTGTCTTTCATACGAGTGATGCGCTAGTGCAGTAAAACAACGGTAACCCTGAGCTAAACAAATATGTAAAGCAGTTTCTCACCCGTTAGCTATCAACCACACGGACAGGAGGAAAGAAGCCGGTGTCAAGACAGATAGAATGTAAAACTAGGCTTCCGGTCATGGCCTTCAAAATAAAGTTTTATTGCAAAAGAGCTGGGTCGTTTTTATGGCTCAATTAGACATCCTGACGTGTTTCAATTAATCTAAAAGTGGAAAAATAAGCAAAACGCATCCTAATCTAAAGCTTCACTCGATAAATGTTTTTGTCACAGTATTTTGATTTAATCTTACTTTTACTTTTACATTTAACAATAAGCTTTCCGGGTGTGGTCTCTGCAGCTTTCTCAACCTCTGCTCATAACAGAAAAGTAGTTGACTGTATACAGAGACATTTATAGAGTCTATAAGGACTTTCCTGTATACAATTTATTGGTTTTCTTTTAGGGAAATATTATATTCATGAATATAAAACTAATCTGGGTGTGGGAAAAAAAAACACTTAAATTAACTGAAATAAAAATTAAAAATAATAAAATAATAACTCTGGCTGTTAGGGAGAATTAAATATTTGTAAGCCCATTGGTGACCTGTAACTTCAGATTAAGACAAGTGAACTAATGTTATAAGTAGCTTCCTAACATATTTATAGGCCTTCTTGCTATGTGGTAGCTCAACCAGCAGAGGTCACTCTGCCCCCTTCTGTGGCACCAACAGGCAATAAGGGTTTGACCTTTTGACTTGTGTTTATATCAAAGAGAAGGCTGCACTGCCACCAAATCACTGACTTTGAAGGGTGTGCAGAACTACACCTGCCTCCAGCTTCTCTTTCAGTGGTGCTATTACTGTTAAAAACTCTCAGCTTCCACCATCTACTGCTGCCCCTTCTGTGTCAAAACAAAACTGTTCCAAAACAAATCTGTGGAGTTGTAAACATTATTTTCCTTTGCTATTTTCCCCAGTGTAAAACACTTATTTATGTTAAGCAGAGTAAATATTTTTAATGCAGCCTGTAGTTCTCATAAGTTATGTAGGCATACTTATGTGTGAAACCTGGTGAGCATTACGGAGAGTCAAAAATGATCTCATCTTTCATCTTTTAATGCTTTTTTGGGTTTAATTCTGTTTGATGAACCACCAGGAAAAGGCCGTGCTCTGTACTGTTCGTCCTTGTGTAAAAGTGAAGTTGAGTCATTTAGTTTTTCTCCCTGGTACTCATCTCAGGACCTCCCAGAGTTTCCCCAATAAATGAAGGATGTGAGCCTGTGCAGGGTTTAAGGACTGATGATAGTATCAAGGCTGGCCCCATATCGTCACTCTCTTCAAATTAATACTGGACTGGCAGGACAAAGCAGAACACCACTCCTTCCTCTAGTGCCATAAAAGGGCCCTGATGTCACTTTGAGATATTTACATCATGATTTATAGTAACCACACCTTGTAATTGTGGCACTGTTTTTGTAAATAAGGATGATGTAAACTTGTGTCTTTTAATACACATTTATATTTATATTTTTATATACAGTAGGCTTTTATGTACAATAGTACAGTGAAGCAGGGCTCTGCAGTGCAACTCTTTCACTCACATATGCCCATAAATGATTTACAAGCACAGTGGGTTAGTGAAGACTAAAACCTACTGTAAATAATTTTATGTTAAGGTTATATTATACCAATAGTCATTTATACTAGTTCCTCCACCAGGTTGTGGTCAGAGCCTCTGCAGTGGACAGATGTAGATTTAGTTAAAGATCTACATTTGTAGGCCCATGTCGAGCGTTCAGATCCAATAGTCTTCACTGGTTTTCACATCAGAAAATGGTCATTGCACACAAGGAGAAGGAGGTCAGGCATATTATATATATAATACATTTTTATAAATTAATTCTGTGCTACTTTAACATTTTACTGTCCTACTACTGTCTTAAAAAGCCCCCCAACCATAGCAGCCAGGTGAATGACGTGGGTTGGCCGATGTTGACACTGCTCTTGTCTCCTCCATGTTCCTGAAGAGAAACCACGATAACACAAAGTGAGAAAAGAGCAGAGACGACCTCCCAATTGTGTGTCAGTACCAAAACATCTGTTTACATATTAGTAGTAACTAGAAGAGGTATGTTCTCACATGAGGTTGGCATCTTTTGAGGAGAGGAATATCCATTCTTCCCCCTCTTTGGCTCCACCTTCCAGGTGTAAATATACTGTTACTAACTTATTTCTCTCGGTCCAGGTTTATTTATTTATTTTCATCTAACATCACCCTGGTATAACGTTAGTGCTGCATAATGTTACAGATCTGACCGTTTTATAAGCTAGGCTTTTATTTTAATATGTTTAACATTACTTCTGGGTCACTTGGCCCACCTGTCTTTATTTTCTCAACATCTATCTTCAAATGGAGAGATAAAAATAGGAATTTCAAAAAAACAAAATCGGACCATTATTTGAATTTGGTGTAGTCGTTTTGTGTAGTCAGATTCAGAAACCAAAAACAGGAGAACAGCTTTTTTTTTTACCGTTTCTTAGTTTTTGATTTGAAATGACAAACGAAAAAAAGGTGTTTTTCTCGTTTGTTCATTTTGTGGTTCAAATGAAAAAACTATCAGAACGTACACAGACCACAGGCCTCACTGCGAACACGCTTTATTGGAACTATCGACTGAAGAAACAGCCCTTATGAATTCATAGAATCTTCAATTCAAGTATTTTGCATATTTTTATCTAAATTGGCCCAACATCTTCCTCCGCTGGTTCAGCCTACTGAGGAGACGAGAACCTGCCGAGGAAGACGATGGACTTGGTTTTATTGTGCCTGATGAAGAAGAGGAAGGGGTGGTCCGCTGTGAAGTGTGTCTTCCTCGGCATACAGTTTGCTACCATGCCTGCTGTGGCTGCAGCCGCCTCCGTTCCCTCCTCGTTCACCTCCACAAAGGCCTTGTGGGCTACTGTAGACAGGAAGAGTCCTCTCTCACCGTTCATGCCAGACAAATCGGCCTTCAGCTCACAGAACACATCTGTCATGCCTAGTTTGGCCAGAGGCTCATTCAGCTCGTAGTCTTCCTCCAGCTTGAACTTGGGCAGGTGAACGAGGACTTCTGAGTGGACGTCCATGTTGTCCCTGTTGGTCCAATTGTCCAGCCTATCCAATTTTATCTCATTCTCCAGCTGGAATGAAACACATACATATGAACATCTGTAGCTCATATTTATATTAAGAGGTTGTGAGCATCAGCTTGTAGGTGCTTGTTATTAAAATAAAATTGTTGCTAGTGATGACCAGACTCCTTTTCATAGACAGTACGATATCTGTATGTGGTTCTTCTTAGACAAAGCAGAATTTAATTGGTTGGAAATGGTATAAGTGGATAATAAATGGATTATTCTGTATGTTATTAGTTATACTATACTTTGTAGTGAGTGCAGATAGTTCAGAATTTATGCACTACAACTTCTGTTACACCCCTTGCAAGTATAGTTTGCTTAAAACTGCATTTTTTTATTACATGTTAAACACAAGATTTTTATGCATAATGTATTAGCAAACAATTGCCCATTTACACACCCAGCAAACGTTGATCAACATCAGCACACATTGGCTGTTGTGTTTAAGTCCACCTGATGGATGGAAGTCTGTTTGGTCTCCACTCCTGAGAAAATTATCTGGTTCATTAGCTGCTTTGTTCTATTTCTTTTCTACAACTAGTCTCCAACTTGTGTGTCTGCAGTTTAGGGTCAGCTTGTTTGCTGAAAACAGCTGTTGGAAACAAGGTTGATAAGAGTGCTGGGGAAGTGAACCAAAAGGAAACAGTACAACTGTCTTTTCTTTGGGGGTATTTGTTTTTAGGTTGTGTACCGTCAGCAGGGGGTCAGAACAATCTGCAGACTCCTCAGGCAGCAGAATGAACATGCTAAGCTCCTCTTTCACGTATGGCAACTCCAGGATCTGCAGGCGGAGCTCAGGAACGTAGTTGTAGGGCAGCTTCTTCTTCTGGTACATCATCTGGACTGGCTTGGACTCATTCTGATGTGCAAGAAACACCAAAAATCAGAGTTATCAAAAGAAAGTCTGTATTTAGTTTCTGAAGATCAGCTGCACATCTGGTTAAAATGTTAAAATGTTTCCGGTATTCAAACTTTATGTCTCTACATCTGCAAACGTCAACTTAGTTTTCACCTTGTTGACTTTAAAGGGCATCTCTTTGGTGTTTGCCTTATCAAAGCGGCTCATCCAGTTTCCCTTGAAGTAGATGGCATTAACCAGAGCCAATCTTGTCATAATACTGACTGTTCCTGGCTTCAGAAGATCTTTAATCTTATCTGAAAGAAAATACAGGGACAAAGAAACCATCGGACACTCATTCAAGGAGGAGAGGGGCATTGCATCGCATGATTGCTGTAAAATTTGGTATAGGAATGATTTTATGTCCAGTTCAAATGCAAATTTTCACTTTCTGTCTGCTGCTCGACCCAGGAGTTGATCTCCGCTCTGCACGCCTCTGGAGCCCCCGTGAAATCAACAGCCTTCAGGTCTGCCTGGTAGTACTTTTCTGTGGCTTCAAGGAACAGCTGCAGAGAGCAGGTAAGATATTTATTTATTTATTCAACCTAGAGTAACTGTGTCTTCTGTGATAAGTGTGAACCGAAAACTCACCGGGTGGAAGTTGGCAGTTTTTTCTCCATAGAGACGGTTGGCCAGTTTCAGGATGTATGATGCAGATGGTGAGTTGATGTCAGCGTTCAGTGTCTGGAAGTCTGCGTGGACATCTTCACCAGGGTTGAATGAGAGAACCTGTATGAAAGTGTGGAACAACAGATCTTATTCTGGGAAATAGTGAACATCGAAAACGACACAGGAAGGACATTGCACTGTTCTGGAGCTGCTATAACAGCTTATGGTACTAGAAATAAAAAAATATAGTTATTGGACAGTGGCAACATATAACCTTCAACTTACTGTTATATGTCTATCAAGTCTGTTAATTAAATCTGCAGGTTATATGATGTGG